CACCGAACGTTTGCTCTTAACTGATAAAACATTTTGGTGTGCTCAGAACATGCCAAGTCATGGTCTGGTAAAAAGATGGCAATAAAAACAAATAAAGTACATGCTCTGCCTAAAGTTGCATGTTCAGATATTGACATTACAACAAAATGGAGCTAAATAAAAGGAAATAGATTGTTGTAGAAGTGACGAGTCTCCAGCTCAAAATAAACTGAAGGTATGATGATCAGTGTAGTTTGTGGTTGTGCCCCACAGGGAGGATGTGAGTTAGCAGTCAGTAATCCTAGAGTTCAGAGATCGGTGACTGCTGCAGACTTTAGCTGATGTGTTGGTGAAGGGAACAGAGACGAGGTGTGCAGGTTTGGTATCCAGGATAGGAAGGAAGAGGGACAGATGGTGGCAGACTTTGCAAAATGGATGGAAATGGCTGTTGAAAATACTTTCTTCCAGAAGAAGTGTGAACACAGAGTGACTTGTAAGAGTGGAGGTAGAAGCACACAGGTGGATTACATTTGATGTAGAGGTTGTAATCTGAAGGAGATTAGTAGTAAGTGCAGTGAGGCAGCATATTGATCTGTAGGATGAAAACTGAAGTGTTGTGGTGTTTCAGGGAAGAGTTGAGGAGAGGCTCCCAGATGACTGCACAGCTGCAGATAATGTGATGAGCATATTTGGTGTCTCATCCAAAGTATCAAAATGCATAAGAAGACTTTGAAGTGAAATGAGAATAACATAATAATAATAAAGAGAAAAACATTAGCTGAAAAGAAGTGAGACACTGACAGGACTGTGGAGACACACAGCAGTCCAGGGACATGCTGCGTACGGCGAAGGTACGAGTGGCAAAGGTCAAACAAATGATGTACAACGACAGCAAGGAGGGAGAAACTGATTTGTACAGGTTGGTGATGCAGAGACATAGACATGGGAAGGATGGGCCACAGGGTAGGCTGATTAAGGATGGGGATGGACATGCAATGAGATATGCCAAGTGTGTGATGAGAAGATGAAGAAAGTACTTTGAAAAGCTGATGAATGAGGAAAATGAGAATGTAGAGTAGAAGAGGTGACTGTTGTGGATCAGGAAGTAGTTAAGATTAGTCAGGATGGAGGGAGGATAGCTTCAGAGAGGATGAAGAGGGAATAGCAGTTGGTCCTGATGACGCCACCATAGAGGTTGGAAGAGTCTAGGTGGCAGTAGAGTTAGGTTGTTCTACAAGGCTGAGAAAAGATGCCTGAGGAAGGAGAAGTTTGAAGGACAAAAGTGTTGAACTTTGGTGACTACAACAGAATGAAACTAATGAGTCAAGAAATAAATGTGTGGAAAGAAAGGTGGATGCTAGGCTTTGTTAGCAGCAGTGCGATTTCATACTAAGCAATATTTAAGGATGCTGACGGAGAACTACAGTCAAGGCCAGAGGGAGCTGCATCTCATCTTTGTAGGCTTAGAGAAAGCAAGGAGTTCTGGTTTTACATGAGAAAGGCTGGACTGGCAGATAAGTGAGTTACAGCAGTACAGGACATGTTTGAGAGCTGTGAGACAGCAGTGAGGTGTGCTGTGAGAGTGACAGGAGTCACTGGGACTGCACCAAGGATCAACTTTAAGTCCTTTCTTGTTTGCTTTGGTGATGCAGGCTAACAAATGAGGCTAATGTGGAGTCTCTGTGGATGGTGATGTTTGTAGACGACATTGTGATCTGCAGGGTGCAGATCCCTCTCTACACCTCTCTGGAGGCGTAGAGAGGGAAAGCTAGAGAGCTCAAAGTATGTGTGAAGATTAGCTGCAGCAAGATGTGTAACTGAGAGTGTCACAAGTAAAACGGGGGAATTTCAGGGAGTAGAAGGAAAGAAGGTGCAGGACTCTAGTACTAAGGGTCAATGGTCCAGAGCAACAGAGAGAGTGGGACAGAATTGAAGAAACATGAAAGCCAGTTAATGGATGGAGAATCGTGTCAGGTGTGTTGTATGATAAAGCATAACAGAAAGAATGAAAGGAAATGTGTTCAAGATGGTGGTGAGAGAAGCCATGATGTAGAGACAGAGCCAATGAGGAAGAGACAGCAGGCAGAGCTGGAGGATACAGAGATGAGATGTTGAGGATGGAAAGGATCAGGAATGAAAACATCAGAGGAACAGCTCATGTCAGATGTTTTGGAGATAAAGTCAGAGAGACCAAACTGAGATGGTTTGGACTTGTTCACAGGAGAGACATTGACAGTAGAAGGATGTGGAGGCCAGAGCCACTGGGCAGCAGGTCAGTAGGAATCCCAATAAAGGCCTTTATGGATGTGGCAAAAGAGAAAACAAAGTTAGAGCAGAGGATGCAGAGGATAAGATGAAATGGAGACAGATGACTCACTGTGGCAAACCTGAAAGGAAAAGGAGAGAGAAAGAGAGAATAACTGAGTTGGATAATTTAAAAATGTAAAAGAAATACAAGTATAAGTCTTTCTGAAAAGGAACAGACTACAAAAAAAACAACAACTAAAAAAATTGTGCAAATAACAGCCGGGATGTAAAAACTTGGATCTGTTGGGAGCGGTGATGGTTAGAGTCTGACAGCTGCTGGGAGGAAGGACATGTGACAATGTTCCTTTGTGCACTCAGGATACAGCAGTCTGCCGCTGCAGGAACTTTTCAATTCAGCAACAGCGTCATGCATGGGGTAGAAGACTTCTTCTGTGTCCCACCACCAGCCCTGGGTCGGAGACGTTCCCTCTGTGCTAGGGGGCATCTGAGGACAGAAGCTTATCTAACTGCTTCCTTTCAGCTGCTGTTCCAGCATAACACACTCCTGATGCCATCATAAGGGCAAAACAGTCGGCACTAAAATAAAAAAAAATAAAAAAATTCACAATCATCTCAATTCTTTTAAGTATAAATAAAGTTTAGTATATCTTGAATTTGTGCTCTTGTAAACTGTTTGGGCAGTCAACAAGTATACTATGTGTAATGTTTATGTTTGAATAACTTAACACTTCATAAAAAAGGGATGGGTGTTTCAGTCATGTGTAAAACATCAGGAATCCCCTTTAAAAGAATGGATAATAACAGATGGAAAGAAAGTGATTTAATTCCAGATAAGAAGAAAAATGAATCTTGTTTTGCTCATTAGAAACGTTACATCTGTCTAATGAAGAACTGAGGGAAAGTTTGGGCTGTTATAATGTTACTCTGCTCTCAAAAACCCACACAGGTAAAAACTCAAAAATTCACAGCAGAATTTAATGTGCATTATTGTGGCATGAACTTTCATATCAACAGTATGATCTTAAAAAGTCACCATAATATTAGTTTTTCATTGTTCTTTTTATTACTGTATAAAATGTTTTGTCTGATCAGATATATTTTGGAGCATTTTCCATAGAAGACTTTTAGTCTGTATCTTTCAGCAGAATAAACATATTCTGCTCCTCAGAATAAACATATATTTTTAAAAATCAGTTTGCATTACTTTCTCTTTTAGCACCTCTCAAAAACACCAGACATGTCTAGAAAGTTAGTCTTAGTGATTCTGTGCAGCCAGAATAAACAAAATTGTAAGATAGGGGTTGAAAACAGTGACAGTGACGTTCCAGTCAAGGGCTGCAGATAAGCACAGTGTTGGAGGAGATTTAAGGACAGAGGTTAACTGCCAACACACTTCCTGTCCCTTTAATGATAAAACTCAAGGCATGGGTACACACACATTTGTTATTCAAAACCCCCATTGGTATGTGGACAAAACTCCTACACTGCCAGTTCTTTCAGTTATCATTTGTACAAACTGGGAACTGGTGTTGGAAAGTGAAACTCCCCGTTTGGAGAAATGATTCACAAGAAAAACATTTCTTCACCTTAAAAAAGTAGCTTAATCAACCACCTGGTTGATTAATTTGAACTGCAAAACTGTAGAAAGGAATGTGTAATTCCAAATATCTTTAAAACAGAAACCTCAATCCTTACCATCCAGCTTTGACTTGGTAGGGGAATTGTGCCAAACTCTTGAGAAACTGTAACAACACATTAGTTAAAAATCTGAGTTTTTTCCTCCTAAAGTAAACTTTGTATTTGTATTTTTCTAAATCTGACAATGGATCTCTTTCTCAAAGTAGCCAGCAGTTTACTCCAAACTCTTCAGTCCCATTGCTTGCAGGGTCAGTGTCTCCCCTCTCTGCTGCAGCTTCAGATTCCCAAACCATTTTTTTTTTCCAATCTGTCTTCTCATATTTTTTTGTAGCCTGCCCCAGTATAATAATATATATTTTTTGACACTTTGCACTTCTGGAGCATGAAAATGGGCCAACCTACTGCCTCTATTAGCTGCCAAAACAAGATAAATAAAGAAGAAACACTGATATCTTGTAGATAATGAATGGATGGATGGATGAAATCTTGAATTCAGTGATGAACACTGAAAAAATGAGCACACTGTCAGAATGGTGATTTATTTTGGATTTTTACTTTTCTATGCTGACAATTAACAAACACAAAAATGATATTTATATTCTATGCATTTCATGAAACAGCTTAATGTGAAATCATGTTAAATAAATAAATTGTATTTATACCTGGTATTTGTTGTTAGGGGATGCGGGTCTGTTCCTTTAAACATCGTTCATGTTGCGTTGAGGTACCGCTCGTAAAATGCAATATTGGCAATGTGGGTTCAAAATTTGTGAACAAAGATTTTTTTAATACCATCTGGTAAAGTTTTATTATACGATTAACCATAACAAACAGACCACGGTTTGACGTTACATGATGAAGAGAAGAGACGCAACAGGTTTCATTGTAAACCAGGACAACGCAGGAATTACATCATGTTGTCCATTTCTCAAAAAAACTTTCTTTCATTTTATTTAAAAGTTTTGATTGTGTTTATTCAACCATGATTTTTTAAAGGGAATATTACACGTTGAAATTCAGCGCAGTTCACTGTGGCTTCCCTCATTCTGGTAAGTGCGCACTTTGGAAAATGTCTGAGGCGGACGCTGTCCGTGAACGCATCACCATCACCGCTTTCCTGTTGCTCAGAGGAGGCAGGCCGGTGATTTTCCACTGCTGCTGATGTCTCTGGTCCCCCGGTTTTAAGAGACAAAGGTCAGAAAGAGAAGCTTATAAATAGGCTAAAATATAAGCTTCCGACGCGTCCACACTTCAGTCGCTCTCACGGACACGGGAGGACACGGACAAGACTAACCTGACAAGGGACCGAGCGCAAAGGACATTAAAAGGACAAAATAACAGAAAACATCACATCATCGTAGCAGGTAAAGAAAAAAAAAACCTTTATTCATGTTACACTCATTTAGAATTAAACTGAGATGGATGTCCATGATGCTTTTCTGCGTTTTTCAGGGATTTTTTCTTTTGTTGGGTGTTAAATTTAAACGTATTTCCAACTCTTTTGTGTATGAATGAAAAAATGTTTATTTGCAAACTAAGAAGATGGAAAAACAGGAAAAGTTTATCTGCAGCAGTAGCAGATAAACTCAGTGCTGTGTTGTTTCACAGTTTAGTTGTGTTTGTGCGGGAGCTGCGTGGATGCGGGGATGTTTCTTTGTCAAGCGTGGAGAGCTCTCTCTCTCTCTCTCTCTCTCTCTGTCTCTCTCTCTCTCTCTCTGGTATTGCTTCGTGCGCTTAGGAAGGTTTTACCGGTGGATTTGCATTTCCTCTCATGTCTGCATTCAACGCTGCAAACTTTGATTTTACACTTTTGTTTGGAAATTTGCCTATATTTTTATGTCGGGGAAAATAAAGTTAATTGTCAGCCGCAACATTTCCTTCTTCACAATTTCATAAAAAGCGTTTTTCCCCCTTTCTAACCTTGACTCTCTTTACATCCGAACCCTGCTGTTTTAGTTCCGTTGTGAAAAGGAGAAGTGAGGCGCTCACTGCGCTCAGGAGGCGGAGATGCTCCTCCGCCGCGCTGAGCACCGAGCGCTGCCTCCCTCTCCACCTTTTGTCTCGCTTCCTGCTTTCTTTAATTTCCTCTTTTTGTCACATAGTTTTTAATTTAAACGCTACAGACTCCATTCTCTGCGCACAGCGTCTCGTTTATTTCTCATATTAAACTGAGTATTTGAGTCTTCTGCCTCCAATGTTTGAAACGTCTTAAAAAAAAGTGGACTCTGGTTTATTTTCAGTTTGTTTCCTGATGCTTGAACGTGATGGAGGGGAAACAGAGGCGCCTCACTGACAGGCTCTGTCTGCGTGTTGGTGTCAGAACCCATCCAGTTGGTTTCCATTTTAGGATCAGTTTGGACATTTTGACTGCTCCAAAGTTAAACTAATGCTAAATGATGTTTGTCGCCCGTATTCGTTTATCAGCTTCTGGTATTTCAAAACTGCGAAGGACTTTCCCTTGAGTTCTGTTTCCCAGAATGACAGAAAGCCGCTAAATCAGCACACTGATGGGAAACTGTGATAAAACGACCGACACTTTGGGACAGAAGATGAGACTCGGGTTGTTTAAGTTGGTTTGTTAATCTTCAGTCTTTTGACGGCATCTTGTTTCAGAACTTGGTTGATAAAATGGCATCAAGTTTGTTGTAATCGACTCACAAGCGTCTTAATGGGAGGATTTAATTTATTCATTGAATTTGGATTATTTGTCACACTGCTATGCGACACCCAGGATGAGATCGCTCTGAGCGTCACACTGATTTTCTCTTTTTTTTATTTAACTTTTAATCTCCTTGCTTTAACCCTGAATCTCATCTGAAGAATGTCACGAATCATGAATTTATTCCAATCTGAGATACAAATAATGTTCTTTAATGTCTCATGATTCAAGACACTACAGGGATCCTGGAGTCATTGTTGATTCTTTCAAGAAAAAAATGTGTTTAAAGATTGGAATCTAATGAGTCTGCTCTAAATCGACCATGATGAAGCATATTGAGGTTTTGTAGCCTCCGTCTTCCTGTTTGCCAAACCGGAGCTGAAAGCTTCTGTATTAACGAAGGACTTGTTTGCTGTTAAATGATTCAGTAAGTGTGTAACCTGAGGTTTGTGGAAAGTGGGTGTGTTAGTGAAATCTTAAGCTATAAATGTGATCTTGTCTCTTTAAATGACAGCTGAGAACGACTGTGGGAATTCACACCGACCCCATGAAGAGAAACGCCACCGAGTTAATTTGCATCATCTGTTCTTGAACCTTTTATCCCCCTGCGTCCTTCGCTTCACATCAGGCTCCCTCTTCACTGCTGCTGTACATATTAACTGACATGAACCACTGACCCACTCCGCTCTCAAATTAGAGCTGCCCCATTAATCTGGTATGATTGTATCTGCGTGTGTTGGGCTTTGAAATATGTTGTTTTACTTGGCAGTAAAGATGATAATCAACACTCAGCACAATGTTATTAGAAGTAATATCAGTTACTTTCATGTTGTCATACCTGAGCGTGATGGAGGGCAAACAATGGTGACATGGTGAGTCCGACAAACCAGCTCCCCCTTGTGGCTGACACTTGCATGAATTCATTTTTTGTCCTTAATCGGTAAATTAGTTGATTGTAATTTATTCTCATAAAAAATGTATAGTTTGGAATTTAAATAAATATTATTGTAGTATAGCTCACCACCACCATTTACCTCCTGGTCTGGGCTTTGATTAGACCATCTTAATTGCATTTACATTTATGAGTGAAATGGACAAAATTGAATTTTTTATGTTTTATGTGAATATGTATATTTTTTTTATTATTACCATGCCGCTACATTAAGTTCTAAGTGTCTTATGACATATTCATTTCAGGAGTCTTTAATCTTGTTGCCATAACAAAATCAGCAGCACAACTAAATTCCCAAATATTTGGAATATGTTTTTTTGGCAAATTTCCACAGCTTATGATTTTGACTCTTAATTATTCTATATTTGTATTTGGCTCCTATTTGAACCAAGTATCCACTTTTAATTTCCCTCCCCCAAACAGAATCAGACACAGGATGCTTTAATTTGGTAAGTGTTGTGCTGAATTTGACACTCTGTTGAAAACATCACAGCAAACGGGAAAAAACAAAAACGAGATGCACCATGTCCATCCTGTGTCGTCTTCTTTCTAGTGCATTATTAGAAAATGAAATGAGAAGCTATCTAATTATTATTATCTATGATCTCATATTGTTCTTACAATATTGGCCTCAGCTAGGCTATGGGAAGCATTTAGCACATCAACTTCAACATTCACCACAAGACTTGGCAGCTAAAGACCAAAAATATTTCATCATTCATACGTTGGTTGCCGGAAAAGCGTTTTTTAAATGATGAATAACAGAGAACAGAAAGTTAGAACTGCTCCACTCTTTGAACGAGTCAGTGGTGTAGTCAAAGCAAACCAGGTTGAGAGTGATTCAGTTTTAAGAAACCAAATTCAAACATTGTAGATAAAAAGTTTTGTTGTAGAATTTCACACTATGTCAGTTTTCTGTTCATAGTTTATTTTAGTCAGCACAACCATATTCTAAAACTGTGAAGATTACTGCATCCAGTTAATCTTGCCTGCATGCAGACCAGATCATTTCCCTCTGTTGAAAGTTTCTTTGCATGACTTATGCAAAGTGCATCAGCCACAATCTTTAAACAATGTGTCGTGTTTTCATGCCACCTTTCCCCACCTGCCACGATGTGAGCTGACTAAAACTCAGTGATGTTCTGGCATTACTTCCTGTTACTGGTTTTAATACTTGCTTAATCATTTACAGCGTGATGCATTCAAATTACATTCGACAAAAGCCTGCTCTCATTTTTCAGTCAAATTGATATCATTTTCTCATTCTCCATTCAACATGTCACCTTTTGTGCTTCCTAGCTGAAGCAGAAATGCCCCTCCCCCATAAATTCTTGCATTCCTTTACCATTACCCCCTTCTGTCTGATTCACAAGATTATCTCTGTAATCTCCTTTTGTCCTGTTACACTTTCAGCTGCTGTAAAATGAATATTTTATGAAACAAGGCTAAGTTTGTGGATGCTTCAGACTGCAGACTGAAGCTGCAGAAAGTGGGGATGCAAAGTGAGCTGATTTCAGAGCGATCCAGTGGAAGAATCCTTGACATTTTTGTGTGCATCTGGTAAATTAGTTTGGCTCATTTTCTCCAAGATGTCACTTTTTTTTTCAGTTTGCTCCAAATTTGCACATCTGTCTCACTGAAGACTGGATTTGGGTGACTCAAATAACAGCCTGTAAGCCCAATTAGTTTCAAATCCTGAATGGTCTGTTTGCAACAATGAAACAAAATGCACAAAAGTGACATGTCATGAAAACAACAACATGAGAAATGGGAAGAGAAGCAACACAGGCAGATGAATGCATTCAGAGAGGAGCAGGGTGGGGGAGGGGAAGCTGGTGATGGATGAGTGGACGCAATCGGTGGCCGGTTCGCTGAAAAGGTACATGCCCTTAAAATAGGAGAGTGAGTTATGCAAGTCATCTGGCTGAGAAAAAAGTGTTTGTGGCCGGGTTCTGAAACGGTCCTACTCAAATCCAGACTCTTGGTCCAGTTTGCTCTAAGAAAACCCCAAACACAGAGCAGAGGCCAATTAATATCCTGGTCCTGGTGAATGACCTGAGCTCTCAACTGAGCGCCATGAGAAAGAACAGTCTAAGTAGAAAAAGAGCTGATTGAATCTTCAGCACAGGAAACGTTGAACCGTCATTTTACAGAATGATCATAAAAACCTGGTTTGAATCTGTCTGATTCTGTCTGATAAGCTGCTAAATGGCCAAACGGTTGTTAACTGGGCATGTGGTGACCTGTAAACTGTAAAACATAGATCAATAAAACAATAATTAATTAGTAAACTGCTGTTAATCATATAATCACCCAGTTTAGTTTTAATTTGTTAAACTTTAAACGACAGGTCAGTTACAGTTCAGAATCCTTTAAAATGATGTGAAATGCCCCTTTAGTACTAGCTTTGAGGTAGTATTAATGGAAATGTGATGTTTTCATAGAGATGTGTTAAATATTGCAGAATGTGCTTTGTCCAAAAGCTTGTGTTGTGTTGGGCTTTTTGAATTGCATAAATCAGTTTGTTACCAGTATTTTACCTCAAACATAACGGAGTTTAGTATTTCATAAAGCAGGAAGTGTTTAGCACGTGCTTGTGCGCATGTGGGCCGATCGAGGGGCGACATTCAACTGTGACAAAATAAGTTTGCTTTGCTTTGTTTGTAGGGTTTAATCTGTTCAAAAATATTCACCAGTTTCATACATCATGTACAAATGAGCATTTTACATACAAACAGTACAAAGTTGTTGGTTTTCTCTGAAATGTGGTCTTATCGTTAAGTCAGATCTCGAGAATGAATGAGAGAAACGGATAGTAAAGGTGAGAGTGCAGCAGCAGTTGGGCCGATGAATAAAGATAAGGATGTGACATTTTCCACAGTTGGAGGCATGTGCTGACTGCTAAGCATGTGTCTCTTTCCTGACTTTCTTTTTCTCCTTCGCTGTCGCCATTGGGTGGAAATTTACAGCTCTAGTTGCTGATCATGATCACATTGTTCTTCTGTTTCTACATTTTTGTCAGAGCAGATGAGGAAGGAGAGAAGGAGGAAGTAAAGTGGTTCATTAAAGTTTAGGTTTCTGTTCATTGCTAAAAATATCTTTGGTTACTGTTTAACTTTTAGCCTTACACTGAAGTACAATCAGCAGAAGATCATTTCTGGTTCTTGTTCCACTTGTGGCCCAGGCATGTTTAAACAAACAGAAATGACAGTCAGTATATGTTACAAATGAAGCCTTATTAAATTTACATTAAGAAGGGTGTCAGTGATAGAATGTGGATTTGTGGTTAGTTAATGACACTGTTACAAGCTGGTCTGCACCTGCTTCACATGGTGTGTTTCCAAAACAGACGAAGTCCAGCAGCAAAGTTTTTTACTTTAAAGTCTTATTTATTTAAACTATTATTTTAGTTGGAAAATTCTTCCCTTGAACATCTAATATAGGTGAAGCGTACAACAGTTCATGTTTCTTCTGCAAAAAGATTTTCACTTCTTAGATTTGAGCTTCTCTGCTGGTCATTTATCAGGTGGATTGACTTTGCAGTCCATCGCCGTTTGTGGCACATTGGGCATCTAGTGTTTATGCAGTGTTACTTTGATAAATATTTAAGCAACATTTCCTGAATAATGTTTTCTCCACCACTTTTTAAATGAGTTTAATATGAAGTTATGCTACATTTCTGCGTTTTCTATCCACAGAATGGCACAAAAAGAGAAACTTCAGTGTCTGAAGGATTTCCATAAGGACACGTTGAAGCCGTCTCCTGGTAAGAGCCCTGGCACTCGGCCTGAAGACGAGGCGGAGGGCAAACACCCCCAGAGGGAGAAGTGGGCCAGCAAGTTGGACTTTGTCCTGTCTGTGGCCGGCGGATTTGTAGGTTTAGGGAACGTGTGGCGTTTCCCTTACCTCTGCTATAAGAATGGTGGAGGTAAGCATCAAATGGTTTGAAAAATCATTTTGTTTACTACTTTTCTTTTACTTTATCTGTATGGGTTTTGTTTCGTCTCCCATTTCTAGGTGCGTTTCTCATCCCCTACTTCATTTTCCTGTTTGGCGGAGGTCTGCCAGTCTTCTTCCTGGAGGTTGCCCTGGGTCAGTTCACCTCTGAGGGCGGCATCACCTGCTGGGAGAAGCTTTGTCCCATTTTTACTGGTATGTAGCTTGTTATTAAAATTCAGTTGCTAAAATGGTAAATTTGAATGAAAACAAAACCTGTACACCAGGAAGTTTGAACGCCTCAAACCCTTCCTGTGTAGAAGGCATTTTTTTTTATTTTGACAAACGAGAACTACTTATAATTTCCCCCACTGATGTCAGATTGAAACTTTTACATGTTGGGCACATTTTAAGGCTTCCTAGTTTCCCAGTCATGTCTTCCCTTCTTTGAAGCTTTTAAACACAAGTTAGCATTAGCATCCATCTGCCAGACTGCAGTGCCATAAAAACCTATTAACTCTTTCCTGAATGTCTCCACATGACCTCTCCAGAAATCATTCAGACCTGCTGTACCACATGACCATGTGCTTCTGATGTGCCTGAAACTTCATCATCATTCAATCAGAAAATAACAGAAGTGCCTTTGATTCTAGCACTTTGAAATGGGATTGAGTTGCTTTTGTTGCCATTTCCATGTGATTTGTGGAGGGAGGCAGTCGACCTCTGCCATGCCCCTGATGTAGTAGTCATAGGCCACCATCGTTTGACTCGTATATCGACGAGCAGACCTTCAGCCTGTGGTTTGTGTCGGCATCAGTCAGAATTTAAAAGCACAAAGAAGAATCAGAACCGTTCCTAATAAGAAAAGCAATAAAAGTGAGATATCAAATAAATTTGAAGCATTTGCTAACAGCAGGATCACAACACCATAATTGATTTGAAGAGAATGTCAAAGGAAGATTTCAGAAGATTTACCAAGATGTGATCGCATGCTTGAGAAGGGATGCATTATGGGAAAACCTGTGGAAAATCCCTCCAATAGTCACTTTATATGACCATGGAAAGCAGGACGGTGTGTGCAGTGAAAACCAAAATCTACTTTATTATAGAACAGTTATGTTATGAGGCTGACATTTAAACACCGCTGGATATTTAATAGCTTGTTTATGTAACTTCATTCACACGTAAAATATGCACAGTTTTGGACTTTAGCGGCAACTGATCCTCATGTTTACCCGGTTAAACATCTTCAATCCAAAATCTACCAGACACATGTGAGCCATCGTCTTTCTCCTCAGCAGCGGTGACTCATGAATTTAATGATCACTGCACCACAAAGGATGAAAAGCAATTCCCTTTTTATGTTTAATTAAAGAAATGCAGTTTAGATTCTTTGATTTGTTTTTAATTTTAGTTATTTCTTTTGTTTTGTTTGCAGGTGGAGCAGTGGACATTTGTCCGCTGCTCCACCTGCCCCGCCCTTTTATTATCAGATTTTTCTTGAAGCAATTCCCCCATCACCCAATAAGAGAGACCAGGCCTGTCTCTCTTATTTAAGATTCAGGTTTTTTTCCACACCTCTGCTGTTTTTGACAGAGGAATGGCTGAGTCACACCAGATTCTCCTCCAATAAGAGCGCTGAGACTTTGCCCAGCAGCCGTCACCAGGCAACAACCAGGGCTGCGCTGGTACACCTACACACTGGGCCTGTTCGGTGCTTTAACCTTCTCCACATCTCACCTTGTCTTTCTTTTTCATCTTCCCAGAAAGCTCAACTAATGGCCCTGAGAAGTCTTGTGATATTATTTGATCTGCCTTTATCCCCCTCTCCTCCATTTTCAGTGCCCGTGTTTAATAGTATTTTCTTCCTTCTTGGCCCTTGCTTTCCCGGCCAGCTCCTCTCACTACCAGCCAAATAAAATTAACGTATTTTACTTCACTCTCACATATGCAATTGCCATTTTATCTTCACATTCTAACACATTATCGTGTGGTTGTCTCAAACACACACACTCAGACACAAGGCGGTGTACACAGTGTCCTGAATTACACATCTCTATGGTAACAGCACAGCAACACATCAGAGAGAGCTTGGAAGAAAAGAGCAGGGTGGTGGTGGGATCTGAGCCGCCGACAGATGGATTGATAAAGACGGGAGAAGGAGCAACACAAAGGCAGCCAGACGGAGCAACACGAAATGAATCCGATTCAGAAAAAACAATTAAAATTCAAGAATAAATTTGAGATGAACATAAAACGTGTAGAGGATGGTAAAAAATGAATCAAAATAATAAAAATTGACATTTTGTGGAAGTATAAATTTGTTTATAATGTGTAACTCAAGCCAATGTAGATGTTGTTTTTTGTTTTTTAGCCAACATCCATACCAGACAGCAGCAGGCTGAGCCGACCTGCATAAATAACATCCTGATATCAGTTATTGATGAGCTGAAAAATATTAAGACAGAACAGAAACAAAAAGATTAACATTTTATAGGTTTGGGTAAGAAAACGCAGGTTAAGCCATAAGTCATGTCCGGGTCATTTATAATAAAAACACATGATTTAAAGCAAACCTGGTTAAAAGCAGTTCTGGGTTCTCAGTCGTGAGTAGGTATAGTTAATAACTTAGAAAACCCAGGTTGTCTCATAAGAAAACTTTCTCCTCAAGTCAATCTGCTGCCCTGCATGCATTTCTGGAGCAGTGGCAGAATAAGAAGTCCCCTTTTATGGAAGATATGACCAGCAGAACCGGACGAGGGGCGGCAGCATGTCTGAGGAGGAAAGAACCAAACAAAGACAGACGCTCCAGGACTAACATATCAGCCACAATACAGGATAATAAGCAAAAACTTAACACACATCCACATGAAAATAAGTTGTGTTTTAGAGACGGACCACTGCTAACAAAGAGCCTTTCTATGTCTACAAATATTGATGGGTCAAGGTGAACCAGCTCATCAAACAACAACAAAACTGTCTGAAAATGAGCTAGAACTAAACAAACCTACAGAACCTGCAGGATGAAGAAGGAAGACTATGAAAACTCAAAAGTACAGAGAGACTCTAGATGGGAGCCGCGCTGCCGTTAATTATTAAACTCTTGCAAAAACTAAAACATTTTGTACAAAACAAGCAGCTGCTCCTCTGCTTTTTGATTGCATTCATTCTAAAAAGTCAGATAAAACGGGGACAAAAAAACCATTTGACCAGATAACTGATGAGAAATGAGGCCATCAGATTCTCAGCAGCTGCTCAAATAATAACTCATCATCAGATAACGTTGTAAGTTCCTCCTTCTGTCCACATCCTCCAGACTCCCAACACTGACAGGAAGCATGCTAATAATGATCACATCTGTAGCTTCTTTACCTGTTGTGACAAATTTCAGATTATTTACTCAGCAAAACCTTCAGCAGTTAAAAAAATGAGTCGACTGCATATGTGGATAAACTGAGTGAGGTCAGGCAAGGTCATCCCTCCAAGAGCTGAAGAAATGACATCATGGAGGAGAACACATCTGTTTGTTTGATCAGCACTGTCCCATGTGATCTGAGTGTGTGTGTGTGTGTGTGTTTAGAGATGCGAGGATGTTACAGCTACTAATTGGCCAAGTGATTAAAAGGACATGATTTGTTGGCAAAGTACTTCTCACATTCATATACATATAAAGACACACAAATGGCAGACGAGGGTGAGAATGTTGTTTCATAATTCAAGCTTCTCTATTCTCTCTCTCTCTCACACACACACACACACACACACCATTTTGCTCACAGATGGTCGGTGACGTTGAAGGACATTAATTTGGATGAGTGGCCGCTGTCGGCTGCGCCTCAGCACATACAAAGCTTGTTTTAATGTCCTTATGAGGACTTACTGTGACTGCGGTCATTGTGTGAACTCTACTCCAAATTCTAATCCAATGGGATCCGAGTTCCTGCACCTGCTCTGACTCCAGGAGGATTACGTTTCCTCCTGAAGTTATCAGAGAATATTTCAAAACAAAACACGATCATGTGTTTACACCCATCTTGTGTCAAGGCCACTAGTGACGCAATGAAACGTATCTGACTGTTCTTGGAAATAAAGATTTTATGTCACTCAAGATTAAAAACATCAATGTTTCTGGTTGGACCTGGAATCGGCTAAAAGATGCCTTACACAATATTTGAGAAAGAAATTGGTGTTTTGAAAGGCCTCTGACCTTTCACCAAACCTCTGAAGAAAATAACTTCAGCCCTAATTCCTAAGATGTTTGGATAATGTTGCCTTTTGAGACTTAAACAGTTTCTCAGTTGCATTTCCAGTTTTTCAAATGAGAACTTTCACGCTGCTCTATTTTTGCATTGCTACCTGTGGGGTTCCTCCAGGCCAGGTTCTGGTCCCCAGTTCAAAGTTCATATCATCATTTAAAAAACTTTTTATCAAAACTGCTTTGATGAAACCCAGGCAAACTTGTTTACCTGCCAAGTTTGCAATCTGAGTTTTGACAGCACATTATCTTTTAAAGCGTTTTCTGAAGATAATTATGAAGCTGCGATTTAATCTCAGACACTGGAGTTGTTGCTCGTCATGATTTAACATAATGCTCTGTCTGGACAGCTTTCCTTTCTTCTCCACTTGCAAATGATTTTATGAGAAGACATCTCATCTGGCACATCAGCCCTCGTGTTTGTGACTCTTCTCTCACCTTCGGATGTTATCAGACCTGAAGAGGGTCAGGCCTTCGCAGCAGCTGCCCCCCAAATCACTTATTAGTCTGTTGTCAGCATCTACATGGGTCAAAATGGGATTGGACATTTCTGCTTGGTCACAGTATGTCCTCTGAATAGAGTACAGGATTATCTTGTGCAGATGAGTTCGACAAACACTTTTCAGTATTAAAAAAGGATTAGCATGGATTCAGAACTGAATGTGCATTGTCAGAATGGGAGTTCTGGCCTCCATTAAGCATTTGCCTACGAGTTGAAGGAAACCAGGTTTATTGTTACAGACGTTCTCCTGAATTTAAATGTTTTTTGGAGAGGCAGTTGATTTACTTTTTGAATGTTCCTGTGTGGATGAGGAGATTTGTTTTTATTTTTTAGTTTAAATGGCTACAGTCCAATATTGAACACCTTATTGTTGCACAAAATATTTCCCCAACTGACAGGATCTAGGTTTCATCCTTAGCTCTGAGATGATTTCCCATCCAGCTGCCTCCATCATGTCTGTAACCAACAGATTCTTCACTATTGTTTTGTTTTAAATTTTATCCTTTGTCTTTTGCAGGTATTGGCTACGCTTCCATTGTGATTGTATCCCTCCTGAATATCTATTACATCGTCATCCTCGCCTGGGGTCTGTACTACTTGTTCCAGGTGGGGATATAAAACTGTTAAATTCCCTTTTTATCCTAAAAGTTGCACAGGAATCTAATCTGTCTAAATACATGCTCTAACAGACCTTCTGTTTTTTTAAATTACCTTTCAGTGTTTCCAGCCAGAGTTGCCCTGGGCCAAGTGCAATCAGCCCTGGAATACAGATCAATGCATTGAGGACACCTACCGCAAGAACAAAACCATCTGGGTTGCCGCCAACGCCTCCAACTTTACCTCCCCCGTCACAGAGTTTTGGGAGTAAGTTACATAAAATCCCTCACACCTGCTCACTTCTATACCCACACACAGCTTTCATGTCCGTTGTGTTCCTCATGTGAATCGCTCATTATTGGTGTGATCTCTAGCGTACGGTTAAGTATGGATTATCATTTTGCAGACACAATGTGCTGGGCATCAGCAGCGGCATCGAGGAGATCGGCCCCGTTAAATGGGACTTGGCCCTGTGTTTACTCCTTGTCTGGGTCATCTGCTTCTTTTGTATCTGGAAGGGCGTGAAATCCACCGGAAAGGTAAATCAGTGTGAAATAAATAATATTCATTCATTTAATTTAACTGAGATTCTGTTTGTCAAACTGTTGATACTGAAACAAAGACGTGGTGTGAAATTGGTATTTCCTTTTCTTCCTGGTCTGACATGGGAACATTAGGGAACAAATTGGGTCTGACTCTCTTTGCAAACCGAAGCCAGGACTTGGTAACTTAAGCCACGATAACTTTTCCCACATTTACTGAAGCTGTTAATGGATGCACAGCAATTCATGATGCAGCTTCTGAGAAAACGAGGCTCTGCTTTATATTGCTGCCATAAACACAAGTTTTCACAAGACAAGAGGAGAGGCAGTAAATGAAGGACTCCGCTTTATTGGACCAATCACTCTTGATTAATTGGTCCAATATATTGTTCCTAGTTGTTTAAGTTTGTGAAAACAACTCTTATAAAACAAAGTTGGGTCAAAACTTTCCCCAGGCAGAAAATGACTCTGTGGGCCTGAAGTCTCTATTTACAACAAAGGGAAATTACTAAGTTCACTCATTTACAAAACCCTTTTTCAAATGAAACGAGGGATGTGAAAAAATGTCATGTATAAAGAACAGCTCTGTGGTTGTTTTTAATTCTTTGTGTTTCCTTATCAAACATCCAAAAGTCCCTTCTGCAAGAAAACAAGTCAGCAACTTTCACCCAGACAACAGCAGGCCACCAAGAATTTAAGGAACCTTGTTTTGTTACTGTTGGAAACTTTCAGTAGTTTCCCCAGATTACACTGCAAACTATTAATCAGAGAAGGAACCGTGTAAGACTGCGAAACAACAAATGTTTCAAAAACTCCAGATTATGAATATGTTTGAATTTAAGAAACATTATAAAACTTTAACTTTTCATTCAGGAGGAATTCAGGAAGTACATTTTTAAAATGAGCGTAAAAAGCCTCTTTCAGAAAAAATACAATAAGTGTTTTTATTTCAGTACCTGTAATGACTTCATTAGGAATATGAGCAGACAATTTAGGGAAGAGTCAAAAATGACCAATTTGAAACTGGAACTCGGAGATGAATGCAGTATTCATGTTGTGTGTGTGTGTGTGTGTGTGTGTGTGTGTGTGTTCTACCTCAGGTGGTCTACATCACGGCCACGTTCCCGTTCGTCATGCTCATCGTCCTGTTGATCCGCGGTGTAACTCTGCCTGGTGCTTCTGAAGGCATCAAGTTCTACCTGTATCCTGACCTCGAACGCCTCAAGGACCCAGAGGTAGGTTCCCCCCTGTGCTGCCTGATTCCCAGAGCCTCTTCACTCAGCTCCTGCTATAGAAATATTTCCTTCTTCTAGTGAAACGATTTGTTTGGACGTGAACTTCGTTGGTGATTGAAATTCCTGGAATGAAATTTAGACACCAGGACATTTTTTTCTAAATCAAGCAAAGAAGTTAAAAAAAGACTAAAAAAAGCACAAATCATTAACTGTATGTTAAAGATTCTATGATCGGTGTAGAATAATGCAGTCCTGCTTTTAGAAGTCCAGGAGTGAGCAGGCCAGATGTTTTTGACCATTTTTGTGGAAAGTTTACAATAGACTTGGACTTAATTTATTGTCATTGCACAAAGATACGACAGTGAATTTGGCAACAAAACGTTGCTTGGCTGCCAGAATACACAGAAAGTGCTGCAAAACTATAAGTATGACTTATATAAGTATGTATATGTACTTATAAATACAAGTACATATACATACAGGTGTTATTGGTGCAGGTAAAAAAGGTAAACTCACTATTATGCATTAATGTAAAAAAAATGCAGGGATCTGTTGATTTTGCATGAATTTCCACAATTGCAGAATCACAATAACCTGGGCGAGTGCTAAATGTTGCAATAACAAAATAGTTTGTGATAAATAAATAAATCTTTAGGACTTCACCACCTTACCGCTTCTTTGCCTTTTCTAGAACTTGAACTTTTCTGCTGCATTGAACAGCCAGTGTTACCAAACAGATGACGGTCATACAGATCCTGGATGTGTGGTAGTTAAATAATGACCCAGAATTTATTGCAGGCGAAGTATTTCCTCATGATATGAATACTGCAGTCGTAATGACATCAGTTGTGCAGTACCATGGTTCCAGGTTTTTTTCCATTGTGTTCTTATGCTATAAAGGGAATTGATAATCTTGGCAGATACAAGCTAAGCACAGAACACTAGCAAAGGTTTCAAACCACGCTAAACGTTTAGCTTTCCATTACCCAGACGTCATCAGCAGGCCTCAGCCTCTCTGTTGCTCTCTCCCTACTTGGCAGGTGTGGATTGATGCCGGCACTCAGATCTTCTTCTCCTATGCCATCTGTCTGGGCGCCATGACGTCCTTGGGGAGCTACAACAAGTACAAATACAACTGCTACAGGTGAGGCGTCAGTTTTCAGGGGCCGGGCGGGGTGTGGTGTGGTAGGGGAGAGACTGGGTGTGGGGGGTGAAGGGATCCTTGTGTGTTCATTAACAAATCCTCCTCATGACATATGTGTGACATAGGGACTGTTTGCTGCTGGGAGCCCTCAACAGTGGTACCAGTTTTGTGTCTGGCTTCGCAATATTTTCCGTCCTGGGCTTCATGGCACAAGAGCAAGGGGTGGACATTGCTGAGGTGGCAGAGTCAGGTACGAGGGTTCTGTAAAGGCGGCAGTGATGGTGGGCGCTGCTTCCTGGTTAATAAATTAAATAACAGTCATTTCAAAAGAAAAACAGCAACGAAACCCAAAAGAGAATTAGCCTCTACGTTCATTTTCGAACTTGAGTGACAATTTAGAAACATCATGGATTCCCTGATTAAAACACAAATGACGGCATCGGAATATGGAAGCTTCCGCAATCAAACACTTCTTGACAAAAGCAGATCTAGGAGATAAGAACCTATTTGGTCGGTTTGTACGCGCTCATTTAAGTAAGGCAAGCTGGCGCAAGGCAGAGGGAGCTGTGCTTTATGTCTTTAAGGAAGACGTTTTTTAGGGAAGAGTTGAGGAAAAGCTGCTGCCGATACTTTACGGCACATCTTATGTCAGTGTGACGGTTTAAAGATTTGAGTTTTGGTTCTGAGATGTTCCTCATTTACAGCCAACAACCTGATGGTGCCTTAGCTTTCATCCAGCTGAGAGGCATTTGTTGTTAGAGGTTACATCTATGACTCTTTTTCTGCAACCTTAAGTACAATGAGATTTCCATGGATTTCTGTCATGTTTTTTCACCGTATGCGGCCTAACACTAAGCCTGACCATTAAAGGAGCCCAGGTTACTGTGGATGTTTGCTTTCACTTTCTGACAGAATCACACAAGGATTTCATTTATCCCTACTTTTAAAAACAAGAGCAGAGCCATGATGATTAATGACTTATCCTGTAAACATACCCAACGTCAAAGTTGTTAAACGCCAATGGAGATGGAAGAGTGTTTTCTAAGAACTTGTTTAGACTGGTTCTGCTCTTTTTGCTGAATTGCTTTTCACTCCAGTTATTTGAATAAGACTTGGCGGCATGCTGTTTGATTGATGTAAAGGTTTATTATTTTAGAGAAAGTAATTTTCTTTATCAACAGGTTTTGTGAAGCAACACCTTATCTAAAGCCCCAAGATCAGCAAATTTCATAACAAGTCCATGTAGCTTAGCATTGCTTTCTACGTTAACAGTATATGCTGGCAGCCCAGTCGATGCAAACATTGCACAATTCTGTAAAGTCCAGCTGACAGTGGGGTTTGCAGAATCGTCCAATATCTGTGATATTTGGCGAGTGGGCTGATGGTCTGTGAGGAGTTGGTCAGAGAAGCTGGAGGAAGCAAAGCGCTGCAAGCTAACATGATGCTAGCTGTTAAACTGAGAATTTGACAGGATTCTTGTAAGGAGCAAGATAAAATGGACGACTAAAACATTTTTACAGAATTTTATCTTTGGAAAGGAAAGCAAAGAAGTTTTCAGAAAGAAATCTGTAAGTTTGCCTAAACTGCAGCAGTTTGGGCTGAACATACGTTTAAAGCTAAATAAGAGAAGGGATGCTCTTGCTCCGTAGTGTGACTTTAACTGTGCAACGGCTTGGCACACAGCCTCAAATGACTTAACAATGGGATAAAAAGAGAAGAAAGACTTCTTTATATTTGGTGCTGTGCACAGTAAACTCACGATAACAGTATAATCATCATGAACTCAGTTACTTTTGATTTGGTAAATTTTCTGAAGGTTTGTTTTCCCTCTGGGGCTGGGAGTTGGTTTAACCTTTGTGAGTCAACGTGGTGTTTGGTTGGATGCCTTGTCATAATTTGCTACAAAAATGGAACCTATTGATACACTATACTATCAGCTGCAATGCTGTTTGCTGTTATGGCTGCTTCCTTGTTCCTTGACTTTTGTTTTACAGTTCCCAATGTAGCATCATTTAAATTCGACCTCTTAAAAACAAATCATTAAAAAAAGCATTCGCTTTTTATCTGACCACAAGTTTTACATCTGCTGCTGTTTTGCAATAGTCCTTTTGCATTCCCCGTTGAAATGGCCAACCGTATTTCAGTTGGGGATTCAAAACGGCTTGAGGAACGTGTGCATGGTAAACAGAATGTATCGGACACACCTTCATGTGCTTGATTTGCCTTTTTGAAGCATTTGGGGCTTATTCAACTTCAATCAGAGCAATGTTTACAGTGGTCCTTCCTTCTTAAATGATGTAACATACATCCTGCAACATCTCTCTTCTAACTGACTTACTTCCACAGAGATACTGTTATAAACACAAATGTATATAAATGTGCTTTATTTGCTTTTAACTATACTTGTGTGTTTTATTGTAATATAAGGTGCTATTAATTATGTGCTTGTAAGTGAAATGAAATTGTCATGTGTTGAGTGTGTACAGTTAGTGTGTCTTAACGCTCTGCAAGCGAGAGGTAAGTAAAGATGTGCTTTAGATAATTATTTTTAATGAATCTTTATCCAAATATACTTTACATGTGAACTTGATCTGTGTGCTGTAGTCAGGCATTGATTAACTCTTCACTTCCTGCTCTGCGTCGGTTGTTTGGGGGCATTTTTCTCCCCCACAGGGATGCAGATCAGATGAGATTATCATATGATTCTAATGTCGCTCCTCCCCACCCCCTTCTGTCTCCTCTTCCTGCTCTTCTGCAGGTCCAGGCCTGGCATTCATTGCCTACCCCAAGGCTGTTACCATGATGCCTTTTCCTACACTCTGGGCAATCCTCTTCTTCATTATGCTGCTGCTGCTTGGCCTCGACAGTCAGGTCAGCAGATAAACAAACAGGATTTTTCTATAAAGTAACACAGTCTACAAGACCTCTGTTTTCTCCCAGTGTTCCCAGTACTAACTGCAGAAATGCACCACTCAGTCAGAGACAGGAGGAGGGTCTTAGTGCTGTCAATCACTCTTGTACTCAACCCCTCCTCCTTGCTCTCTGCTACACTAAAACTCGTTAACCACAAGATATAACGGATTTTCTGAAATGTCGATTAGACACATTGAGCAGAGAGTACATAAGCATGATTGACAGCACTAGGCTCCTCCTCCTGGCTTTGATTGGTTGTTTTTGGTGGGGAGTGGTGCATTTGTTCAGATGGCAGCAGTACCTTTTTTTTAAATCTTTCAAAATCAACCTTTCAGTAAGGTGGATTGTCATCATTTATTTTACTTTACAGTGTCTTCTCTATAAAACGATAAATCACATGCATCAAAACCAATGCATACCAAGTAACGTGTGCATTTTTAAATCCAGCTTACAACAGTAGATGGCACTTAAAGTAACGTAACTCAGGAAAGAAAAGTGAGCTTGGTTTGAAATCCTGGAGGTCAGTGGAAGGTGAATCTGACTTTCCATCCGTTTTTTGTCTTGCAGTTTGTGGAGGTGGAAGGGCAGATCACATCACTGGTGGATCTGTATCCGTCCTTCCTAAGGAAGGGTTACTGCAGAGAGGTCTTCATCGCCATCATCTGCTGCATCAGCTACCTGTTTGGACTTACCATGGTGACCAAGGTAACGAAACAATATGAGGAGGTGGAAAAAGGTGCTGAATGTAAAAGGCACCTCAGCCAAACGTTGAGCATTAAAATGGTTGTTTAGTTTGACATGAACACAGCAGCTCCTGACCTCTTTTCAGGGTTCATGTAGTTGGAACCAGAGCGTTTGGACTGCAGTCAGTGTGAACCCCTGAGAGACGATGGCAGAGGGAGGGGGAGTTCTCATGACTTTTAGTGTCAAGTCATGAGAACTTCCTTTCCATCTGATGGTATTAATAGTTACAGACCCAATTTAGATTTTCCAAATCCCCTTGCTTCCTCCTCATTCTCTTTTTATATCTCCTGTTTTCTCATTTATCCCCTGGACTCTTTAAGTCCTTCTGTACTTTTTTTCAAACCCAGTCGTTTTGTCATAATTGTTTCTTCCTGTTTGCATGCTCTAGTTTTCTTTTTTATATTCAACCATCTAACTAACTTCCTGTATGAGTTATGCATACACATTCTAAATCTGTATAAATACTGACAGGAAATGTACAAGTATGCATTTTAGATGCAGATTTTTGTGTATCAGAATTTTTAATCAAAACTGAAAATCACTCCAGCATATTTAATTTTACTCATCTTGTCGCCGAGCATTTTAATCAGAACCTTTCAGTTTGTTTCCTGCTGATCTGAGACGATAAGACACATTTGATCTGTTTAATGGTTGCGGTTTGCTCTTCACCAGATCAATGTTCTGATTAAATGTTTTTGTTTAATCACTAAGTTTTAATCAAAATCAATCACCGGTTTGAACCACTTGAGATGAATCTGATCTTATTGAAATGTTTTAGTGCCTTTATTATTGATGTTGCCATGGTTTCAGGTCACCACTGGTGTCTATTTTTCTATTTCCTAGATTCAGTTTGAGGTGTAATGGTACAGAAACCAATACTTTGACTTTAGATAAGGGGATTGTTGAAGATCCTCTCCACCTTCTCTCATCTGTTCCTCATTCATGTCGGCTCCGTTTCAGAACAATACCTCCAGTCCTTCCCTCTTTTCACGCAGACCTTCACTGTACCGACTCATTCCCTCAGTTTCCCTTTCTGTTGTTCCCATGACAACTTCATTTTCGGGCTGCTGTGGCCTGATTCAGCTTTAGGATTCCCAGGATTGGGGATCATTTTTCATATTGTCGACAGGCAGGAGGTGGTGTACCGTCACTCCTGTTCAAACACGTCATCTGCTCAGATTTAAGCTGCTTTCTTGTTTACATGTTAAACTTTCCTGGAACGACTTCCTCCAAAACTATTTGTGTGGAGTTGGAGCCAGAACAGATCATGTGTTTTTATTTTGCTTTAAAATGTTGAAACTAAAACGACGTCTCTCTGCAGGGTGGCATGTATGTTTTCCAGCTGTTTGACTACTATGCAGCGAGCGGTGTGTGCCTTCTGTGGGTGGCATTCTTTGAATGTATAGCTGTTGCCTGGGTTTATGGTGAGTATAATTAATCCCAACAATACTGAAGCTCATTATTCAGTTCCCTGATCAGAAATATTAATTTACAGGCATAAAAAGAAAAATAAAGCTGCTTTGTCTTTTACTGCTGCGAACCTCACCAGAAGGATCTTTACACTGATGTTTTTGCAGGCGCTGATAATTTTTATGATGCAATTGAGGACATGATTGGCTACAGACCAAATCCTTGGATGAAATGGAGCTGGACTGTTGTCACTCCTTTACTGTGCATGGTAAGGACTTTCTAATGAACCTGCCCAGAACTTTATGATGGTTATTTTGAACAAATATCTGAATATAAAACCATAAAAATGTGGATTTAAATGTGTCCCTTTTCCACCACAGGGCTGCTTTATCTTCTCTTTGGTCAAATACAAGCCATTGATGTACAACAAGCTGTACCAGTATCCTGACTGGGCCATTGGAATAGGCTGGACTCTGGCCTTGACCTCCATGATCTGCATCCCCATGGTGGTCGTCATCAAGATCATTCGGTCTGACGGGCCCCTCATCGAGGTGGGTGAAACGCGCAGCGAGCAGAAGATACTCTGTAGATTTACTCAGATTTCCCTGAATAAACGTCGGCCTCGGGGAACGGTCACTGATCTCAGTTTGGAGGATCAGGGATAAATTCTCAAGGGAGAATCAAACTGTTCAGAGCTAAATTTGCTTCAAGAATCATTTTCTGTCTCCTAAAATAACTTTTATTTCTTAGTAATTTGAGCTATTTTATTTCTATTTATACATCTGTTTTGCACAGATTTGTTTATATTTATGATTGAACACAAACTCAGTTCATAAAAACAAGGACAGGTATCAGGAAAGTCAAATAAATCACCTAATTCTTCCTAAATGTAGATTAAAGCTCTTTTCTTATAGTTTTTTTTTCCTCTCTACATCTTTTCTCTTTCCAACTGGTTTCGTATTTTATCTTTTCATTCTTGCTCTATTTGCCTCTTTCCCTCTCTTTGCTTTATCTTTCTGTTCTTTGACATCTGTTCATGTCTTGTGTCCCTTCTGGCCTGCAGAGGATCAAGGCCGTGGCGGCCCCGGTGCGTGGAGGGGCCAGCTCCCGCCCCGCGGACCACCGTGTCCCCAACGAGCTCACCTGCCCACTGGACCCCAATGGAAACAAGGGGCTAATGATGAAGGCCCCCACCCACACCATCGTAGAAACCATGATGTAAAGGGGTGAGGAGGAGGCTCTCCATGAGAACGCCCTCTTCTCCTCTCCTGTCCTCTGAAACGCTTCTAAAGCTAGCTAGCTATCTGTCTGTCTGTCTGTGTCTTTCTGGTGGACTGATGAGGGTTTTAAGGAAAAAAAGACAAGAACCTCACATTTGAAATCTTTTAGGAATGCTTCAAAATCTGTTTGCAGTTGAGGAAAATGATTATTACAATTCCAAACTGTTAAGTGCATTGTTTTCCTTTATAGTTCCCATGTGAGGTACATTAGCAGCGACCACTGATCATAAGCTGGTCGCTTGTTTCTTCACTGATGTCCACAGATAATCAGAGTTTGTTCCCAAAAAAGAACAAAGTTATGTCTTAGATTTATGGAAAGGAAACACATTCAAGTCACTGCTGATGCTAAAATATTCTATAAATTATGGTGCAGTTTGATAAAAATGCACTTCACAGCAAATGAAGACAAAAACAGGGAAATTCTGATCACACAGAAATCTTGTTTTTGGCTGAAACTGAAACATTCCCTTATTTTCATGTTAATTTCTTCCTACAAAGTCAGAGAAGCATCCAACCGGATTTGAAGTGTGGAGTTCAAACCCTTGAGTGTGTCGTCTGTGGCGTACTGTACAGTAGTAGCTATCAGTCTATCTATATCTATCTCTTTATCTTTCTGTGTCCTAGACCAGTTTACAATATGTAAGTTACTGCAGTAGGCACTCGGCTTAAAGTTTTGGATTGAATTTTTTTTTCTGCAGAGGAAGTTACATTATTATTATTGTTGTTAGTTTTTTCCTCTGTCAGTGTTTAGATTCTTTTATTATTATTATTATTATTATTATTATTATTATTATTATTATGGGTATTCACTATTGAATTGCTGTAGTTTTACATAGAAGGACAAACACTTCTTTCAATTGGTGAAAATACTAAGCTGTTATACGGATCACATATTTACAGTGGCAGCCTTTCTACTTCATCATGTATATCTTGGGCCACTTTATCCAGTTGTTTTAGTTACACAAACAAATTTCAATTTAATGATTTTTCTCCAAAGTGTTTCTTGTTATGGGCCAGCTGCTTCGTGACCACTTGGATGTTCAGACTGAAATGGAGACCTGGCAGCGGCTCCTCCTGCGGTTCAGGGCTGGGAAGCTTTTCTTCCTCTGTACGGTTCAGGGCAAATCTGGACACATTTATTGGGGCAGGACAAAAGCTAAGATTCATCTCCAGTTCAGATCAGGTGACCCAGTCAGTTGTGTTTCTTAGCACTCCAAAGCAGGAGAGCAACAAAATCCTGTGACACAACAGAGAATAACGCTGCAGGGCTTTCCAGTCGGCAGAACTTTGTGTAGGGAAACTGGCACTGAAGGAACCCAAAAAGCATCATTTTGGGAAACCTGATCAACACCGACAGACACAAACTAAAAACGCCCAAAAGGAATTTTATTCATGGAAAATAAGAAAGTTTTTTAACTGCTCAAACTAAAAGTTAACTTGATCCGAGTTCCTAAACATGTTTAATCATAAAGAACATCAAAAGGATCGAGTGTAGAGGCACAAAATGTGATTTTACCAAGTTTTTCTCCTTTTTAAAATTAGTGAATTAAGCATCAATTTGTTGAAATTATGTTAAAGGTGCCCTGCGATACGAAAACTAGGCCTCAATTCTGGCTGATTTTTAACAGTTGTGGTATAAAAACTACATGTGATTTTTTTAATAGCAACATGGGGCCATAATGCTGATAATGTGAGCTGTTAACGACAGACTAGGTAAGAGGTAGTTGTTGGATTCAGTTTAATGTGACAAAGGGGTTTCCGTGTGTCTCACCAGCGACCATCTGCTCAGGACTTACCCTTTAAAGCTCTTGTCTGCTTTAATTTGCTTCAAAAACATTTTACTATCAGTTGGGAACAAAGAGCTGCAGTCGTAGCAAACAAAACTTGTCTTGTGCTTTAAAGGACATTCGCTCAGATTGGCACATAGAGAATCAAAAGTAACTTCTTAACTGCCTATTTTATACACAATCAAAGGTAAAGATACACTGAAATGATGTGAGAGATGTTTTTTTGCACTTGAAATGATGAGGCCAAAAATAAAATGCTCAATTTTTCAGGGTACTTGGAGGTGAAAACCATTGAGGCGGGAAGTTGTGCAGTACCCAGGAGTTGCCTGTATTTGACCAAAAACTTCCCAGTAGAGGTGGCATAGCAGCCAGAGCCTGGCGTTTTTCCTCTTCTTTTTACTGTAGTTTGTACCATTAGAGGGATTTGCTGAACCAAATCCACAGCTGACATCTATTTTCATACAGCCTTTCCTATATAACGTCTTTCTACAGCTCAGCTTCCATTTAAATGCACATACAAAGCTTCAGTGTATTCATTAACGTTTGTACAGATCTGGTTCAAGGTTCCTCTGAAGGATCATTGCACAACAATGAAAAACAAAAAACTTTATTCATTTGCAGATTATCTTAAAATCTTCAATTTGTCCGCTGAATAACTTCTTTTAGATTTAAAATCTAATGCATATGGAAACAATTCAACTTTTTTAATGTGCATTTTCTTTTTTACATATTTTTAGAGACAGCTCTTGGCTGCTTAATTGGAAAAACATAAAGTCATCAGTAACGACTTCAACTTTAAAGCTTTTTCCAGGTGCTAAGGTCCTTCTGTTGTCAGGGATTTATTGACCAGATTATTAACTAATGCAGTCATTTATAGGTTTGTTCTGCCTCTCGGTGTAAGTTCACAGTTTGTACCAGCCCATCAGCCTTTTACCCTCCTGCTGTCAGTTAACCCGAGTAAACTTTCCGTTGAGCTAAGCTTACTGATTTTATTTTTTCTCTCAGAAATAATGAGTTTGCAACAGAACTAAAGCATTAGTGATGCACATGTTTTTACCGCCGAATGTTAAAATGTGAAAGTCACCTGCAGGTGAATTTAAAGTTTTCTGAAGATTTATTTTTTAGCATAAAGAAAGAAACTTTGTTTAAATGTTTTCTTTTGCCGATCCTTCTTTGATTTCATCAGTTTCTCTTGACTTGTTTGTGATCATATGTCACTTTTGCCTTTTGTATTCCAAAAATATTCAAAACCTAAAACTGGAGTGACATTGTACAAACTATGGCTCCAAAATCGGCTCACATTCATTACGTGCAATACTTTGTCAAAAGTGTTAATGTTTATTTTTGCTTTTGACTTTTCATGAAACCAAAACTGAAAATTTCAGGGTCAAATTAGAAAGTGGAAACAAAACCATTAAAACCACTGTTTTAAAGAATCAAATGTTTGAAATACACTGAAAATACTGTAACTGATTTGTAATTGTATTATTTTTGAGACAGCAACACTGCCACAAATCCCACTATCATCCATTAATAATAACAAAAATTGGCAGCTCACCAAAATGCCACAACCAAAGTTTTTTTCTTGAATTTTTGACATCATTGATGTCTGCAGCATCAAAGTGTTTAGCAGTCAGCTGAGGTTTCTGAGGTGGAATAACTTGTGGTGCTTTTTAAAGGCTGCCAACATGTAACAAATGTAAATCCATCCAAACTATATACCATATCAAAAGTGGGTGCTCTTTTTTTCTTAAATGTTAATCTACAAATTCTGTAAAAAATAATTAAAGAATGTTTTAAATTTAAAATATCTCTGGGAAGCTCTTGCGCTTTTCTGAAGAGAATCATTTCAGATTACATTTTGTACGCGAGTCCAACATATCGTCAGAATTCAGAACATGAACTCTGTCACTGAGAGGCAACGTTTGGGTTCTGCAGGGATTAATCGGCTCATAAACTGAGTCTGTTTCCATCTGAGAAGGAGCCCAATGACTGAAAATAGTGAAACCTTTTCAGATTTCAGTCTCTGAACGTCATTCCTGTCAACAGACCGGCTGATCGTGGTCTCATTTATAAATCCCTGGTCTTTCCCGCAATGCGCCACACACCAGCCCTTCCTCTGTGAGAATGTACACGGGAAAATGTTTTTGTTATTCTTGGTAAAGAAAAAACTTTTTTTTTTAAGAATTTGAATGGTTTTATTTTTTGTTTCTATCGCCAACCTGTAAGCTAAAAAAATGTTTGAGCAGGTTTTACAAAACTGTAAAACTTTTTTTTTGTTTCTTAATAAAAAATTTGTCTTCAGAAAATGAAGGTGAAGTTGTCATCTGTCTTTGTTCCACTTCCACACACGGATACTTCCAGGTTAAAGTTTTCCACAGTATTAAATTTAAAGCTGTACTTAAACATTTTGGGCCATTTCCATGGCGATCTCGGACAAACGAGCAGGCGTAGTGACAGCTGCTAACGAAACAAAGCATTAAACCAAAGATGTTCCACCAGTTGTCTTAAAATATAAATGATGTGGAAACTGCAGGTCCGTCTTTGGGACAGTAAACGTGTGGAAGCAGGTGATCTAGACGGAGGAGATGAAACTGAAGCTTTATTAGCCAAAAAAACAACCCTGCACTTCATAGTGAACACAAGCTTTAGGCATGGAGTTGGCCTAAAAGTTAAAGAATATTTTTCTATTCTATAACTGCTGTGGAGATGAAATATCCTGTCTTTCACCAGAGGAAGGATCTTCGATGATGCTCCTTTGTGCACCTGTCACTGAAACGCCCCTGCAGCCTTTAAATGCGTGGGGTGGTAAACATGACAGACATGACGTTGGGTCCAACAGTCATGTTCTGTTGGCCGGAGTCCTTCTGCTTCCTGCCACCTGAACCGGGTCGGGGCGGAAAACTAGCACAGAGCTCATAAGTTATCTCTGCCTCAGACAACATACTGATAGCTAAAACTTTTTTTTCTGAGATATTACTCAAGGTTTAAAGATATTTGAAGAAAGTTTACTACACATTAAATGAAGATGGTGAAGTAAGCTCCATTTCTCTTGCGGAAACGAATTGAGCCTTTAATTTTTTTAACAGCTAAGCCTTTTTTGTTCCATCCAAGTTTTTACAGTAAATAATGTCATGGGAATTGTTTTGAGAAGTTGGCTAAGGAAGTAATTTCCTTCTCACCTTATAAATCCTGACTTTATCCATAATTACAGGCTTCCTGTCGGCTGTAGTCTGGCAACCTTTAAAATCTAATAAACCCAGCCTGTGATGGGGCAACAAGTTTAAACCAAGAATATTCCAGTTAATTCTAAAACGGAGCAAATGTGAACGGAAAAAACAAGCCATCCTGGGCTCCAACATGAAACAACATCGGTTCTGAATAGCTCTGGTTGATGGGATATTTTGACCCAAACATTGGTTCCCAGCCGGGGGAGGATGAGACATGCCTGTGAATAACAGAGCACGGACACTTCACATGACTAATTTTCCCAGACTGTCATTGTCCCTCAATAGCAACAGCAACACACTGCAAAGATACAGAATCTTACCAAGTGTTTCTGTCTAGTTTGCAGTGCAAATATCTTAGTATATTTGAAGTGAGACAAAACTAACAGATAACTTTTCAGTAAGATATAGGATCTTGTTTTTAGTCAGTAATTCCTTAATAGTCCTTGTTCCTTTGGCAGATTATTTTAATTACAAGACATTTTTCCATGTTATCTGCCAATGGAATAAATACTTTTTATAATTATTAGGAAATTATCGACTTAAATATCTTGCTAAGATATTTGCACTAGAAACTGGACCAAAAAACACTTGTTAAGATTTTGTGTTTTTGCAGTGCATGAGAGTTTTATTCTGATAGTCAGCTGAGTATTTCCATGAAGGCGTTTAAGCAATTATCAAAAATGTAAAAATCGTTTTTTTCACCAACAAATCTATTTTACCTCCAAGTCATAGACTGTTATGTCTTCATTGTTTGGTGGATCCGTGACTCCCTGACCAACAATGACTCCTTGTTGTTGTGGAACTGAATGTGAAACGCTTTCATTGGCTGCCAGGTCCAGGAATAGATTTGTCTCCTGAGAATCTCTCTCTGTTTTTATTCTACTTCAAAAGAGTTTTTTGGCAAACACACAAAGCAAAATAATGTTTGTGTCGTGTTTTTATTTCTAGAGTAATGTTTTGAGTTATTTCAGTCTCTTCCATGACGGTCAAAAATAGAAAGACGCAGGAAGTAATGTGATAATGTGCAGAAAATCCAATGCAGCTTGTAGTGTGTGTGGGTGTGTGTGTGAATCTATTTTATTGAAGAAAAAAGCCAGTTTCCATTTTATTGCCACTCCTCTGTTTATTTTCAGGGTCCTTTTTTATATTAAAATATAAAATCTGGTTAGCATTGGTTTGTCAGTTTGATCAAGCGTTTTAATTGGTAGCAGTGAGCCTTCTCTTCTTGTAATAGCTCTGATTTATGTAAAGATGGAGAATAGCAGTGGGTGGATAATGTCTCAGTTTTCTTTACTAAAGAATCAGATTGTTGAAGGAAGCCACCCAGCATGGAGATCTACTGTAGAAGAGTTTTATCCCAGATTGACCAGCTTTTAAAAGTTAAGCAAATGGAATATTATCTCATTAAAATACTGAACTGGACTCATAATGTTCTGGTGTTTAATGGACAGGACTGCATATAAAACAGCTGCTTCAGCTTTGATAGCAAAGCTTCATTTTTCAGTAGCTTTCCACTGAGTTCCTTCTAAGTTATCCAGCTTCTTTATGGTCTTGTAAAATCTTTCAGACAACTATTATTGGGGAAATGAACCACAGTCTCGAATTTCTTGTATTTCTCCAAAATCTCTTATTCTGTTGAATCCAAACTCTTTAAGTAGATGTTCAACATTTTTCAGCTTAAAAATCATGAATAATACTTCCAGCTCTGTGTTCGCTCATCTGTGGGTTGAATGATTTTTCTAAACGTTGATATGGTTTTTAAACCAAATCAACGTTTCTCTGTCTTCTGATTGGTAGGAAACAGCTTCAGTCTTGCAGGCAGTGCCATAGTTTGCTTATTTTGAAGTTAAAGAAAAAGTATTGCATATTCATTTTGTCCTGATTGTACATTCATTCATCCATATGCAGCCATGTGACCTCGGTTCTGAAGCACATCCGGTACCACGGGCTTTTTGTATAATTACATGTGTTTGATGTGTTGTGTGTATGTCTGACTGGTTATGTAACCGTTTGCCCTCGGGATAACTGAGTCAACTGAGGCAGAATGTGCAGTACCACACACACACACACACACACACACACACACACACACCTACACATACACACACACACACGCATAAAAGCAGACATTTTATTTTTCTTGCTTTTAATTGTTTTTCTTCTCAAAAAGAAGTATAGCAGTACACTCTTGGTTTCATAGAAAATGAGCAAAATGAAAAAATAAAAATGACCAAAAACAAAGTTATACATTTTGTTTTTCTTTTCATGTTTTTGAAGAGTAATAGTATTATAGAAAAATAGTATTTTACATAGAACTTTACATAATTAAAAACAAACAAAATAACACAATATCAATAGAACCATTAACGGCCCAATCCAGAATCGTATTAAGGATTGTCAGGTAAACATGTCAGAACATTACAAGCAGAAAATAACTGCAATTTTTAAGTTTTTTAGAATTCAATTTAAAAAAGAATAATAATAATAATAATAAAAATAACGGATAGCTACTTTAGAGTAGCTATCCAGAACGTCATCATGGGGATAGATGGTAACTTAGATCGTAAACAATGACATAACACAGTTAAAACTGCCAGATTTTTGTGTTTTTATTGTACAGTGTTTGCTGCAGACTGGATGCATGAATATTTTGCTGGTTTCTTAAAATATATTTCCATCCAGTCAATATGGTGATCTTTTAGTTGAGGTGAAAAACAGCCACAGAACAGCTGACTGTGTGTTATGACACCAAAATTATTTTTAGATTCTGGCAATGAACAGCTATTAGATGACCTCAACCTCAAAATGAAGGACAATTGAAGCTTTGCTACAGGAATAGCAGTTAGCAAGAGCAAATGCTTTCCAAAAGACACCATTACAGAGCCGAGTGATTCCAGCGTCTGAAGTAATTTATTCGAATGGCAAAAACAGATTAGTAAGTGCTTAATTTTCCATACCTTCTCAAGCAGAAGAAATTTTAAACCCCCAATATTAGCATTTGTTAGCAAAACAAAGCAATGATTAGCAATAACCCAGGTTTCACACATCCAGTCATGAATTTTAATAATTAGCCCCCCATATCTATCCGTTTTGTTCAGATTTACTGAACTTTGCCCAACCTCACACTGTTAATGTGATAAACTTTCTGGAAAACACTCAATATCACCAGACGGGCTTGACCAAAAGTCATGTGGGCGACAGACACACAGCTTCAGGGAAGCTGGCATAATGAAAGGAGGAGCTGATAAAAGAACCAATAAATCTACAGATAAAATGATTACATGGAAAATATCTGGTGGCCACAACCTGGCTCCCATCAGTGGTCAAGGAATCTGAATCTGCACATTACTGGAGGAGGCTACATCCATTTTAGATTTCATGCTGAGAAAAGCCATAGAAATATAAAATACTGCATTAGAAAGGCACAGGAAAGCTGAGATGAAACCCTAGTGCAGCGTATGACATCATAAATGTCAGGTGATGTAAGAACTCGTCCGCTGGGTTCAGAAGGAAATGACAACTACCCGGAACAGAAAGGTACAGATTGTATTTATTGTCACAAGGACAGTTAAAACTGTGATTCCCCCCAAAGACACAGTAAATTTAAGCTAATTATTATAAACTAACAACTTTATTTTTGTACTTTAATACTCAAGAATCAACTCTAAAAGTGGAAATAAACATGATGACAGAAGAAGAGTCGTTAACTTGATTTTTGACATGAAACCCACGGTTCTGGATTGGGCTTTAAACTAACCCGGAAACGCAAATGGAGCATGAATGATCACACACACATACACTACTTACATACATACTTATATATGTATATTTATATATATTTAAAGAACTACCAAACCCTTTTGGAGGCTTTACTTGCATTCTCATATTTCACCTTATTTTACTTTTATTTTTGTAATTTCCAGCTTTTAAAGATCTTTTTTGGCCACTTCACAATATAAAATGCACTCAGACATGTTTGTTCAGTTGTCCATGAAAATACAGAGTATGAAATTCAACAGTGTGCTTTTAATTGTGGAGAGTTGGCAGAGATTTTTCTTATGTGCGTTGAGTTTCTGCTGTTTTGAGTCTGATGTGAGTTTCAGAGCAGAAAGTGAAAAACATCACAGCTGAGCAGTAAGATGAACAACACCTATTTCTGTCATGTCCACTCTGTAAAAAGAGAAATTATAAAACTGGAAACACACCACACCTTTACATTTACTCTCAGAAAAAATATGACTTCTGCATCACACACACTCCACCTTTCTTACACACGTGGTTTTCTCAAGGGGAGCAGCTGGAGCCGTGCTGTGTTACATAACAGCTGAGGAAAGAGTGAGACAGACAGACAGACAGCCAAAAGGAACAGAGGATGTAATTGTTCCTGTCAAACATTTCCAGTTCTTCGCTGGACAAAGCCTATTCTGTTCTCTCACACTCACAAGTGTCCTGGTATTCATCTTTCATGTCTTTCTCACACCCTGATGTCGCTTACTGCTGAGTTGTACAGTAGTAAAGTCTTCTTCCCTGTACAGACTGCTTCTTTTTTTGGTTTTGTGAAACTTAGATGGTTTAGTATCGGCCAAAAACAGCCTGAGAATTTACAAAAGAAGGTTTCAAATAATTATTGAATGTATTAAGGGGAAAAAACTATCCATGCAAACCTAGAGGTATGTGAAAAACATATCTCCTTCTTTACTAAACAATAAATGACCTGTAATTAAAGTGAAGGACCCAGATGAACATCTAAAGTTGTGCAGGCCTCATGTGCATCAGTTAAGGTCAGACATCCAAGGTCTCATTACATCTGGTGTAAAACTAACAATATTGCAGAAAAATTCAGCTGGATGTTGTTCTGTGATTGATGGGGCTTCTGTGCTTCTTCAGCAGCAGGAGAACCTGTCATTACTGGAACCGTGAATGACCATCATTCATGTTCTCTGAAGTCCTGGAGGGGAATGTGTGGCTCTCAGTGTGACCTTAGACTGAGGCTCACTGGGGTTAAGCAGCCATCCATCTGAGATGATGAGCGATGGCCTCAAACAGGCTGTTCATGCTGGGAAGGTTGAGTTAAAACAATGATGCAAAGAAGAGTCAGTAAAAAATAATCCGTAGGAATTTAAGACTCTTTGCTATTTGTCTCAAACTTTTAATGACAGCTGTTGCTGCCAATGTTGGCAAAAATCAGGTTTATTACTTCTTCACAAAGAGCCAAGTTGGTTTGGTAGTTTTTTCCCATAATTAATAAAATGGTCATTTGAAAACAGTTTTTTCTTGGATGTTACAATCTGACAGGCATTAAATAATCTGTCACAGCGTTGCAGCTGCATGCACAGCTGTGCAAAACACCACATTAGTCATGGAACATTTCACAGATAGCCAATATCAACATAAAAACTGGGAGTTTTTAAAACATATTTCAGCATTAACTTAATCTGAACAGTGAACACAAATGTCCAGAATGAGGTTTTCTTATTTCCTCTTTTGCCTTTGAATCTGGTTTAAATAACATTTTTAAGCTTTAAAAGAATCCTTATTTTACAAAATGTTAGCACCTGTTTCTCCATATCTATATCTTCTAATATGTACAAATCATTTTCATTTCTCACATTCTTGCAAATCACTGTGAATCTATTTGTGGCAGGAAGCTGACAAAATCATTTTTGCGCATCTCAGCTTGACAAAACATCAAGGTAAGACAAGCAAAACGCAGCTCAGCATTTATTAAAAGAGTTTGATTTGTGTAATATCACTAAAGATTTATTTAGAAGGTTATAAATGATAAAAGTTTTAAATTAATGCAGTTTTTTTAATTAAAAAAGTGTTCCTGATGTTTCTCTGTGGAGGTCGTGACTCAGACATATCCAACAGAGTCCAGCTGGACTAACATAAAACACAATTACGTTTATTTCACTGCAATTTTAAGATGGCATTTTAAATGTTTAGAGAAAATGTGTTGTTTTTTCTGATTTAAACTCAAAAATCTCTGACCGTTTGGTTAAGAAAAGGTGGATTTCACAGGGTTTCGATGGTTTTTGGCCACTAAATGGCCAATTTCTCAGCATTAGGCATGAAAATGGAGAGAGGGCCACAATATTATGTTCTTAAGCTCATATGTTGATACTGACATGTTTTTTCTTTGACATCTGTCTATTTGCAGTACTGAGAAAATAACTTCCATTTAAAATAACTTATTAAAGAGCAGATTCAATACTTTTAGTTGTTTTAACAGTTATGAAAAAATGGCAGTAGTAATGTCATTATTGTTCTAATTTGAAGAATTTCAGATTTTTATTGATTTGTTTAGTGATTCATTTTATGCAATGGAATAAAATTGAAAAGTCCATAAAAGAGCTAAAAGAAGCTTTTATTGGCTAAAAGAAGCTTTTATTGTGTTTAAACTGTGTTTAAACACATTATGAACGTCTCACATGACCACAGCTGGATGAGCCATTTGCTAAAGTTAGATAACATCTATTATCTTCTATGTTCAGCCTTAATTTGCTCCTTAAAACATCACTTTTTGTTTTTCTTCTCCAAATTATATAAAATCTAGAACATGACCCATGCATTTTTGTAAAAACAGAAAAAAGCACCACCTGACCCATTTAGTTGATTTTCATTCACTTGTAAACAACAAAATAAAAAGAATCAGAATTTCTGGAATTTACATGTTTTAATGAAATTTTGGTGTTGTGATTTTTTTATATTGTAGTCACATTTTTATTTTATCTTTTAATATTTTTGTATAAAGAATATACTGTATAACAGCAGTACAACTCTGTAAATGGAATGTGTGCATGCAGGGCTTTTTGTTTGTACTTCAGTGTTTTCAGTCTCTGTATATTCAGAATTATTGCTCGCCTGTGTTTATTCCCAAGCCAGTCACAGTAAATATGTTCACAATTCATGACTTGTAGTGTTAATGCGCAGTTGAAAAGAGCGTGTGTGTTTGTTTGCATTGTTGGTTACAGACTTAGGGGATGGTCTAACGTGTTGTTGTTGTCTTCCGGCGTGTCGCCGGCCAGCGGGTTCCTGCTGATGACCAGCTCCAGTCTGTCTCCAGCCTCGGTGATGAGCGGCACCGCCAAGCAGCAATCAAAGTCTCTCGTTCTGACATGGTTGACCTGGAGGCAAATACAGAGACAGTGGTTTCCCCTGTAAGCCAAGGTCTCATTTTAAATTTGCAGTCTTGTTTCTTCAATTAAAGCATCCAAACTAATAGCAACGTGAAAGAATTGTGACCTGCAACTTGCTGAGAAGTTGCTTCTTTTGACAGCTTAAAAACTAAGTGATCTTCAGTAATTCAGGTATTTGAAACTACTTTAATTCAATTCTAGATCCCTCTATGCTTGTCAGTCATCCACTACAAACATTAACTAAAATTAAATTTCTTCTTCTAAATTAGCTCGATACTTTTATAAACTAAAAACTGAAATATTACGCCATGTTGCATTGCACATAATTAAACTGATGCCACAAACTGGACGCTAAGTGTTTGTAAACTGCCAGGGGATGGATGGGTAAATATATCACTTCCTATACTGTCCAGCACTTTTATTAAACTGTTTTTCTCTTTTCATACCTGCAGGATCCTGTCGAAGGGCTTCAGTCCGGCTCTGTCGGCTGGCCCATCGGGCCTGATCATGTTGACATAAACTCCTTTCTCCAGGAAGCCGTCGGACACGCTAAACCCAAAGTCATCGCTCTCCGGGTCCTTTATCACCGTTACCTGTTAAGGAGAACACAAGCCTGTCATATTTTATTTGTCTGATTTTCTGCAGTTTCTATGTGAACGCCTGTGAGAGAAACATTCACAGTTACCTGAGCTCAGACTTCACTGCCACATACTGTCACATTCTCATGTCAGAGAATATTACTTTTTTCTTTTACTTATGATACCCATTTGTATTATCTTTATTGACTAAGACTGCTATCAGTTAAACATGTGAGTCAAGCTGCATTACTTTTAAAAATGCAGAAACTGGTTTGAAGTTTAGAGACATGATCTCACTTTGTGCAGCTCCAGAGGTGTTGGGGACAAAATTCCCTGCATTTCCTCTTTGATCCGACGAGACTCCCACGTCCTCTCTGACACTCTTAATGAAGCCTTGAGCTTCGGATCGTGGTGCAGGAGGGGGGACTGGTTCTCCTGGTGGATGTGGGCTCCATGGTGCAGGTGGGCCTCGTGGTTAAAATGGGCCTCGTCATGCAAGTGGGAGTCTGAATGAAATAAAATAAGATGGTGTAGAGAAAAAAAAGTCTGCAAACCGTCTGCTTACATGTTACAGACTAACAACAGACGGGCTCTTAGTCTTGCCCCACCTTGGTGGATGTGGGCCTCATCATGCAGATGGACGTCCTCGTGTAAATGGAGCCCCTGGTGCAGGTGTGCGTTCTGGTGAAGCAGGTTTGCCTGAAGGAGGAGGGAGTTTCTTCGCAGGGGGCTCATCCTGTGGCTCAGGATGGGCTCAGCTGGAGGTTTGTTGGCACCTTCTACTCCCAGACTGATGGCTGTACCTGTCATGATGGAAGCCTGCACAACCAAATGTATCAATTCATGCACACAAATTAATATTTTATTAATACATTTGATATCTTTGATATAAAAAAAACAAGCTATCGTCCTGTCAGCTCCTAAAAATTCAACAAATTTTCTCATCTGCTTAATTTTGTGCATCTAAGCTACTTATTGATGAGTTAAAATCAAATTACAGGTTAGTGGATTTTTCAGGATTTTATAAAGTCTTTGCAGCTGTTCACTAAGTTGTGAGATCTATCCAAGGATGCCAACAAACCTCGATCTCTCTGAGAAGTTCAGACTGACCACAAGTCTCCAGGTCTTCCAGAGCCTGACACCAAAAACTGTCATCCGGATCCAGCAGGATACCATCTGGTGGTTGGCCAACAAATCTGACAAAGAAAAAACAAGAATCATTTCATTCCATCAATCAGTCCAACATGTTCATAAATAAATACATTCCAGTCTATAAAGCACCAACCGTAGTCAGAATAGAGATGCAGTGGTGATAGGTTGTATTCACGGTTATGAATTGTCTTTGTTTGAAACCTTGTTTACTTATTTATTGCTTAAACCACTTTATTCTGTGATGCTTAAGTTTGAACAAACAGCAGCTGTGTGCTGCATCTTTGATCTCAGACAATAAGGTTAAAATCAGTTTGATGACTTTCAAACGGTCTGCATTACATGCAATAATGATAAAACATCAAAAGCCTGCAGAAGGTAATGCTGTTTGTGCCTGACATTATTTTTTATAAAATAGACATGACAGAAACATACTGCTTCCTCACAATTCACTAAATATTACTGAAAGCTTTGATTTGGAGACGTGGCTTCAGATTTATAAACAACTGAACCAAAATATAAGGATATTTATATTATAACATTGATTTTACCTGTGTAGGAGGGAAGAAGAGCAGATTTAGGAATCCCAACAACATGAGGAAAATCCTGCCCAGAACTGATCAAGGTTTTTTATTCTCATTATAAAAATGTATGTAATGTAAGTGAATTCCAGACATTAATTCAGTTTTGATTCTTTTTCTCTCCACTCTGAGTTGAGTTATATAACTCCTGTAGAAACGACTACCCTCATAAGGCTTAACCTCCTGACTCATCGCTCCGCACGCACACACACAAACACACAGATGCTTCAGATACACAGATTCTCTCACTCACTCTGTTATTCAATCGCCATACAGGACCATGTGCTTCACTAACTGCTGGAGCTGATAGTGGCACAGCCAGAAAACAAGTGCAGTTAGTGATCAAAAATGTGATCATTTCTAAGCATATGTAAATCTATTCCATCATGTCTGTCCTCATTTCTTCCTCCTCTAATCTCATCGTTGTTTCTGCTTTTAAACAGCTTCAGTTGTTCTGTTATCTACTCCCCTTGTTTCATTTTCAGCGTTTTCTTGTGCGATTACTGTCAGCCATGAGTCAAATCTTTGTTTTTCTAAACCATATTTCTTTTGAAACTCTCCTTTGCTTTCCTAGTTTTCCTTCTTCTTTGTCTTAGTGGTCATTAAGTCTTTCCAACATCTTTCAGGGTAATCAAACCACGCCTGAAGGTTGAGTTCAGTCGTACCCTGGTGGTTTGTCCCACTCATCCTCACTGAAGCCTCCATCACTAAACGGGTAGTTCTTCCTTCTTCCAGGAGGGGGCGTTGTGCTACGTTGCTGTTTGGAGCTGCGCCACTCATGTGGGTGGAGGGCGATGCCCGCTCCTTGTTGTGCGTATGTACCTGTGGGAGAAAAGGTTTAAGAAGCCATTTTGATAGAAAGGAAATGTTCCTCGTTACGTAAAGAACAAACTGCATGAGCGTATCTTGGCTAGCTTACCTTGGCTGCCGTATCCTGCGTCCAGTCCAGAACCGTCCCAGGACTCCATGGCCGAGTCCACACTCGGGATAGTGGTGGAGTAAAGTTCTGACAGCTTATTGGTCTGTTGGCTGTCTGTCAGATCATCCTCCTCTGGGTCACTGACCTCATTCTCTGTCGCGTCCTCAGCGTCTGCTGCTTTCCTCTCCTCTAAATCTTTAACATAAAAACAATTCAGTTTTATTTGGACATGAAAAGTCTTGCTGAGAAATTGATGAAAAAACAGACTGGCATCTGTAACCCTGGTTTTCTAAAGCTACATGGAGTCAAGATGGTTTGCAGATGTCTGCTGTTGTTACGTGTGCTTTAACATCCCAGAATCTCTCTCTTTCTTTTTTTGAGCGGTTTTCTTCCACCTCTCTTAATTTTGACCCTACCAGCTCCCTTACTTGTGTCCTTTCTCCAGGTGACTCATGCATTATGTTGGTCTGCTGTTAGACCGACACACAGCCTCAGAAGTGCTTCCTTCACACTGACTTGGTAAGGATGATAGATTGTTGCAAAGTCAACGACATGCAACTGGCTTCCTGGGAACTGACATCACATGATCCACTGAGTTTGATTAGATTATATAGCTGGACTGAACAGGTCAATACATTTTCATTTCATAAGAAAGTGCTTACAGTATAAAGACTCTTTGCATTTTCTTCACATAAATTCCATAAAAATATGAAGAAACTTTTGTGGTCTACTGTTTAAGGACCGCTGACACCCTGCAGTCAGTTTAGACTTGAAGCTTTGGATACTCACTGTCGAGCTGCTTCTTAATTTTGAGGGTCACCGTCTCTCCGGCCATCTGAAGCAGATGGATGGCTTCGCTCAGCGGCTTCCCTTTCAGACTGACGCTGTTGATGGCCAATATCCGGTCACCCACATGAATAGCGCCCGTCCTGGACACACACACACACACACACACACACACACACACACACACACACACACACTTATTCTCACAGCGATCAGGTTTACAGTAAGTTCAGGAGAAAAAACATTTTTGAACAGTCTGAATGAACTTCTTCAGCTCAAAATTAGGTCAAAATGAACAATTCTTTAATTTCACTGTGAACATGTTGCCAAGTTGTCATCCTTACTCCAAACTTCTATCAGGACCAGGAAAGATAAATATTTATTTAAGGAATTAACATTTAAAGAAATCTAAAGTGTGGGTCAGTCTATCTACTGCCATCATCCATATATAACAACACATGAAATGAAAAAAATATCATTTGACCTACTTTGACAGATAACATTCATCTACTGCTGTTGTCTCAAATAGCAGGTAGCACATTGATATTAGAGTCCATAAAGGCAGAGGCATGCAATGTGTAGTTAAGGAGGCAGTAGATAGTCATGATTATCTGCATGTGCTTGTTGAACTACATAAATGCACATAAACAGAAAACAATAGGAGTGAATGAGGATTTCTCTGCACACGCCACAGATACTGATCTCAGTTTCTCTCCTGCATTTTCTTCTGTCAGGCTGAACTAAGTTTAATTATATTGAGCTTTTAGCACAACAGTTCAGTCCAGGATGCAGAACAATTACATCACAATCTCTAAGAAATGGGTCACAGTGAGAGTGTGTGTGTGTGCGTGCATGCGTGCGTGTGTGCGTGCGTGCGTGTGTGTGTGAAATAAGCAGTGTGTCTTCCAGTGGCGTTACACGTGAGCTGCCATCTTAACATGAAATATGAAACTGTTGTCAGGTGGCCTGCATACATTCACCAATACATGCTTAGGACTCAATAAAAGCTTATGTCATCATCTGCTCAGGCTTGTTGCTATGGACACTGGCTGATAACCTGGCTCATATTTTGCATCTGTCATCTCCATGTGTCATGTGACACTGCGCTGGAAACCTGTCATAGCTCCAAACATCATCTGTTATCAACTTCATGTGAGCAAAAATTTATTTCTGAGGATCTTTGAACACTGAGAGTATATCAGTTTTGTCGTTTAACACACAGGTTGATGTTCTCAGTGCTTTGTCATCCATGCGTGGTTCGCCTGACCCTGGGAAGATGAAGTAGAGAACACCCATATGATGACTCAGCTGAGCTTCCCGGACCATCAGCTGGGAGTGGCCGACCGGAGAGCAATGGAAGCTCAAAGTGTCTCTGAATAAGGATTGACTCTAAACTGCTCATCAAACACAAATTCATGTTTAGAAAGCTTTGGTTTATCATTGGGATGGACGGTTTTCTATTTTCTTTTGCACATAGATATATGTAAGTAGAAACTAAATATGGATGGAAAAGTTTTAAAATACAAAGCAGCAGCCTAGATTTCTGATCAAAGTGTTGCAGTGAATGTAGTACCTCTCTGCAAGGCCTCGCTTGGTCAGGCCGGATATAGTGATGGGGTCAAAAGGCTCCTCTGTGCCTGAGATGGTTATACCCAGAGGGCCTCCATAGCGCTTCAGCTCCACAGTGTAGATGATGCTGCCTGACGTCTCCTGCTCATCTGCAACAAACAGACACACTCTAACGTTTCAGGTCTAAGGAGAAGTCAATACCGTCTGGTGTGTGATGCTCATCTGATATGCAAACACACCAACACAAGAGCTCTGGTGCATCAGTGGATACAGTGTCACGTTCCCAGCTCACTTTGAAACACAAACACACACAGAGACACAGACGTCGTTACAGAAGTAGGTCAAAACTCTTCTCAAGACTGCACTGGTGAGGAAGATACAGTTTCCATGGGAACTAGAGAAAATTCTGCGTTTCATCCGATCGAAAGAACACATCGGTTGTGCGAGTTTATCCCTGCATGTGTGCACACACACGAGAGCAGCTCCATGACGCCTCAGTTGTTGTTTGGAGAGAAGAATGCACACTGCTGCCTCCCTTTGTTAAAACCATGTTTGTTTCACTGCATGGTGATTTTGACTACACAATGATTTGATATAAAAATATGATTAGACATACCTACACCTACAAATGCATTATGAGTAAAAAGAGTGTAATATTAGAAAACAGGCTAAAAACTATTATTTCTTTTAGAAAGATTTCAACAGGAATACAGAGTTAAGGAAAGATAAAATTAACAAAATGGTTTTACTTTATTGAGACTGAAAAAATTAGTTTCTCTTCAGCTTTTTTATTTAGCTCTATTTATACATTAGACTCTTTAGTATGTTGGTATGTTGGAGAGTTCAAGCTCAGCTCGGTGACTTGAGGTTGTGAAACAAACCAAAAACATTTTACTTTCCTTTTTTCATTTCTGTATTTTAAATTTCTTAGCTCCAGTGGAGCAGCAAAGTACACTAAATCATACAACGTTTATGCATTTTGGTTTTATTAGACCGTGTGTTTTTAGCTGAGGTTGTGATTATGACCCTGAGAGTCAAATCTTTTCTAAAAGTGACCAATTTACTGACAGTGACTCTGACGGCTTCATGAAATCAAGTGATTCCAGCTGGTTACTGTCACAATGTCACAATTTTTTCTGTTTTTTATTAAATTTATGTTTCCATTTGTTATTGTTCTTGTACGGTAGGCAAAAAGCATTTCACTGTTGCAACTTTTAAACCGCAGAGGACAGCACCACCTTGTGGTTAAACAATGTTTTGCAGCTCTGTAAAAAAAATCTTTTGAGGAATCTAAAACCAATAATAGCAATAATAATAATAATAATAATAATAATAATAATAATAATAATAATAATAATAATAAAATGAATGAATACATAAATAAAAAGGTTTGAACCATTAAACATGTTTTCAGTCTAATTCTCACTCTCAAGCCTTGTAATTACAGAATTACCTGAGTTGTCCTCATCTTTGCGTATCTTTAGTTTGACCAGCTCCTCACACTGCTGGAGAATATGCTCTGCGTCTTCCTTGGAACAATTCTCCAGCCTGATGTTGTCAATCGCCAAAAGCTTGTCGCCAGGCTCCAGAGTCCCAGTTCTGAATAAGAGCGAGGATGACAGGTGACAGGAAGCAGAAAGTGATGCGAGGAAGAGGAAAACATCAGGCCAGCCTTGTGACAGAGCTGTGCAGCGCTCTATCACAGGGCTGGCATAATAAAAAATGTGTTGTGAGGGCGAGTCCTATGAATAAATTATATGGAATACCTGTGAGCCATGCTGCCTTTCTTGATGTCAGAAATGATGAGCGGCTCTCCAGGCTTCTTGCTGGCTTTGAAAGGAGACCAGATCACATTAAAGATCAGAAACAGAGAACAGTAAAGCCAAACGGTGCCGTCACCAAAATAATCAGCTGGGTGATTATATAGTTCAACAGAGTGCTGCATAAAAATAACCACTAACAATAAAATACATGTTATAATTCCATGAATGGCAGAAATTAATACATTATATTTTATGGAAAATAAGTTTACTGTTATTCTTAAAAAAAAACATCTTGGTTACAACGACAATGACCTGAGGAGAGTCGGGCTCAGAAGATGGCACCATTACGCCGCTCTCTGTCTGAGGCTAATGGAATAAAGCTTTAAATAAATGTTACATAACATCAGTCATTAACCATTTATTACCTTTTTGATACGAAAACACAGAGCGAAGCAGCCAACATTTAAACAGGATATCAGTACCATCCTCTACATACATCCATCTACTGGTCAAAATGACTTTACTATGATTTAAAACAATAACATGGTTTAATCTCAGGCATCAAGGTAATTTGTCTGCACTGTGTCTAAAAGCATCATGAGATCAGAGGCTGCTTAAGTTCATGATGCTTCTTGTAAAATGACATAAAAATATTTATTAAAACTGTGATTCTGGTCAAGAAGGTTCAATGCAGGGCAGCACTTAAGGTTTGGAACTGAAATATGTGGAAAGACTTAAAGGTTATAAACATTTATGCACAGAACTATGTCAGGACGTATGCAGAGTTTGAGCAGAACTGTTTTATCCTCAATAACTCAGCTCCATTGGTGTTTTTGTTTCTTAACCATGAATGAACATTTTTCCTCTCAGTCTTTTAACTTAAGCAGCTGACAACATTGTAGGCTGAATTTGCAGAGACAGCCCAGTGAGCCATGACCTGGTTCTGTTTCAGCCGTAATAGATCTCATTTAGACAGGAGCCCTGGTATTCATAGCTGTTGTTTAGATCTATACGTTTAATCTAAATTTAGAGCAAAAGCATAACTGCCTGGTCTCAAAGTGGTTTAGGCTTGGACATTTGATTTAGTAACATAAACTGATCTAAACAGTTGTTAAATTATTAACATGAGGAAAATATTCAGTAACAATACCAAATATAGACTAATGACAATTATACTAAACTATTCAGATTTACTTCTACTGATGGACTGAAAGATGCATTTTATTCTAAAGTGTTAAACAGTTGAGCTACACAGGATGTGGCCCTGACCACAACACACTTCTTCAGTATCATCACAGACCAGGCGCTGCTATAGGAAAAAAGGTCAGTCGTGCAGCAAGAATCATAATTTCCAACCAGAAATACATCAGCAGCCCTCGACAGGGCGGAGCCACTCTCCATCTCGGCTTTTTGAGCTTCTAATAAAGGTCTTAGTCGTAAAATAACCGTTTACTTTTAAACCAAATATCTGCCTAGTTAAGCCTAGATGTTTATGAACTGCTTAGATTTTGTTTAGACATCGTATCAACAGAAAATGCACGCTGGGAAGAACAAGAAGTTTTCCTTTTCATCAGTAAACAGCTTTGAAAATTGTGCATCACATGAAGGCATTTCCCTTTAGAAAGAGATTTTTCCACTGATTCTTAATGACAGAGAAAAATAATGATAAAAAATAACTCCAGACTGGCTTTTCGTTAATCCTTTTGATGAAGATGATGGTCTTTTCTTCTCAAAGTGTGATGTGACGTTAAGAAATGTGTCAAGATTATTGGTGAACTGTGAGTGAACTAAAGCTGTGTGTTGTAATAAAGCCTCAAATAGACATTAAATGCAACTGAAAGGAAGAATAAACATTCAGTGTCGGCCATTCCCACTGAGGACAGGACTGCGACTTCACTGTAAGGAGTGTTACCATTAACATGTCAAGAGATGCATTAAACATCTGCTTCGACAGCCTCCAGTGTCAGGGAAGGCTGAGGGTTGGCAGCAGGAACTGATGTCATGTCTTCAGCTGAAACTGACTTCACAGTCACTGATAAAAGTAGGATATGTAGAGGTGCAGCAGAAAACCCTTCGAAAATAAACAAAGTAAACTCCTTTATGTATGAGTCCAATACAACAGAAACTTGCTGCTGTTGGATGACGCTGTTAAAAGGTTTCTATGCTGTTTTATAAAAGCTGTTCATGTTTCAGCTGATTGGTTCTGGGCTGAGCAGGAAGAACATGCTGTGTATGTTGGGTCGTGTGTTTGGATGGGACGTCCAGTGAGATTCAAACATTCTGCCAGCGGTGCTGCGAAACAAAAACCAGATCATATCGGGAAGGATTTGTGTTTTCCTACCACTGATGGTGAGCCCCAGCTCCACTCCTCTTTTCTTTGGTAACTTGACATGGAACGTGCCACTGCTAGGCACCACCGACTCTGAAACAAAAACATGCACAGTGTTCAGAACCCGCAGACATGACGAAATAATAGAAAAGCAACAGATAAGTACATTTATCCAGCTTAACATTTGTAATTATATTTGGTTTATCTGCTCCTTCCTGCACCGAACTGCATTTCTGCAGGCAATTATCGACTTCAAATCCTTATGCTTGAAGGAATAACATTAATTCACAAGTTAAACTGTACACAGACACATAACCCTGAGCTCTGTTAGTACTTTAAAGCTTAGTTTTAAAAACTGAGATCAGCTCCTCATTTAAATTTCCTAAAACACTTAAAATTTTCATCCTTCAGTGAAGCTGAAATGAGGGTAAATAACATCCCTCTTCACAAACAAATAAGTGATTTATGCACAAACCCAGAAGAAACAAGCTTCAGAAGTCCTGCATGGTGCATTTCTGTTGTGCACATTTCTGCTGTTATTGCAACTAGAATGTCATTTTAAACACAGAAGGTCTCATTTAGACCATATTGCCCAGCAATGGAGGCTCATGAAGTCCATAAACCTATCGCTGGTCCAGATTGAGGCTGGTCTACAGCCTCAATCAGAAGTAAACTGAACCAGAGTTCATTTGGAAGCGAACTGAGACCGCCTTACAAAGCTGATCTCGGTCCAGTTGGTTGGACTGAATTCCAGTATGAGTGAATTCAGATCTACATGAAAGGTCGGGACCAAACTCTGGTTTGGTTATAGCGAACCAAAAGGTTCAAGTGTCAATATATCCTTAAGTTTTACACAGTTGCTAACATTTAAAGTATTTAATGTACCAGTCCAATGTTAATGTTAACTCCCCCATCTGTTCACCGATTGGCCCAGTTGAAATTCAACCGGAGAAATCCAGCTCAGTGGGAGAAACCCCAGGAGAAGGACTGATGGGAGATGAGAATTGGGAGGAATTGTGCAGGAAGCTGATGGCCAGACTGGATCTTATGAGTCAGTGCACACATCTCAGAAGTACAGAGAGCCTTGAAGTACTCTCAGTACTGATGAAGAGCAGTCACATTAAGCATAAGGCAACAATCCATCCACTATCTAAAGATGCACACTCTTAAAAATTCATCACACTCAGCTGCTTCATAAACATTCCCCATCAAAACTTCATCAATTCCAAAACAGAAACTAATTAAACTTTAACCCGTGTTGGTTGGTTCAATATTTTTCCATCTGATGTAACTTTTCTTCACACAGAAACCCGAGCTGAGACAATTCTCTAAATGAACTAAGAGCATTGCAGTGGAGTTAAAAGCCTTTTGACGGGTTCATGCCCTGCAGATTACCCAGACAGAGCAGAAGTATTCACAGTGTGTGTAAATAGAATAAAACAAAACAATTAAAGTGTAATTAAGTCTTCAAACCCCCCAAAATACATGACCCTCAGGATGCTAAATGAAGACCCTGATGTGTTGCCTAATGTGTTGGAATTAAAAGAGTCGCAGGAAGTTGGAGATAACTCGTTCGCTCCACAAACCTGCTACATCAAACTCGATTTCCAGCGCAACCTTATTGGTCAATGCAGCGTCTCGGAGAAGTTGATTGGCTTCCTCGAGTGTCCCGTCTTCTGTGGGGATTCCGTTGATTGACAAAAGACGGTCTCCAACCTGCAGCAGGCCACACCTACAACAGTTATCAAGGTGGTGTCAGGATACATGAACACATAAAACATATTTAAAGTTAGTCAGTGAGAATGTTCCTCTTAAAGCCCTGTGAGGCCTGAAATGCTCCGATCATCTCATTGTTCCTTGGTCTGCATAGCATCACTATAGAGACAGAAACCAAAACACTTCGTAAACATGATCCATGCAGGTTAACCACTGTGTGATGAAACCGTGTGATTCCAGATCCTCTTTAAGATCTTTAGGATTAAGATCGCCATGATCGTTGATTTATTGATCTTACTGCAATAAATCAGTTGCTTCTTAATCCATGTGCTCCATTTACCTTAGCAGTCAAACTTTCTTTACATCAGTAGGACAAAATCCTTCACTATTTAAGACTCTAAGTTTTGTATGTTCTGTAAACTAAGAAGGTAACTGTTTTTCTGATCAGTGGACAATTTGAATGGCAGAATTACAGGTAACAACGTCTGGAAAAGTCAAGTTGAAACTTTCAAACCTAAGAACAAAAGTTACTTTAACTGTGAAGCATGGTAGTGGCAGCATCATGCTGAGGATCTGCTTTGCTACTGAACAAGTCAGATATCAAACATAAGGATGACTTGTCTGAAAAAAAATATTTTTATACACGTATAAATGTATCTAAATGTTTATTTGTGCTATCCAGACCAAACATTATATTATTGTCTGGTAATACAAAAATACTAATATGCATCTTTTTTATTTTATGGGAGAGGAGCACAGACATACCCTTTCTGATTTTTTTACTGCCACCTACTTTAGTTGGTTTGATAAATCATGCAGTCTGTGATCCCTGAAGTCTGTGAAACTAAAACCTACTGAAACCAGTCTGCTAGTTTCAACTTCAAGCTCTTTTGAAATCTGTCAAGACTGTGAAAAGTGTGAAGTTTGTCCCCAGTTTAAGAGTCCTTTGAGGCAGGCAGCTGTGATGTGGAATTAAAATAAATACACTCATCGATTCCTCCGGCATGAGCAAGAGGAAGCAAACTAATTAGTGTTTTTAGCGTGGGCACTAATGGAATAGGGAATGTGGCCTCAGGGTGTGGAAACACACCCAGCACTCAAAGAAGCAATTCATAGGATGGAAATATTGGCCAGTAAACAACCACACAACAAAGACACAATGGATAATTAGGTTTTAACCACCTAAATTAAACGGAGTTGTGTAGAACTGAGCGACAGGAAGGTCCAATGTGCCAACAAAACATGCACAAAATTACACATACATCGATATTTGGAAAAGCTCCATGAAACTTAAGCACATGCTCACACGCCTACACTGAACACAGTCAGGTGGAGCTGCTAACACTGAGCATCATTCTCACACATCCTCCCACTGAAACACCAATATCTCAGAGCCACAGCGAGTAGCGCTGCTAATGCAGCATTAAAATCAATACATATGCACAGCCAGCCGCAGTGAGAGGCATTACTGCAGCGGCAGAGCAGCAGTAAAATACGTTACTCCAGCTCTACATTCTGTTACAGCTCTTTAAAGTGAAACAGGCTCCTGCTTGCAGTCAGTCTTTACTTTGACTTCTACTTAAGCAACAAAATGGAATTATAAATCTATTCTGAAGACCCAATTTTCTGATCAGCTGTAACGCTCAGCCTTCATATGAGAGTCAGCACTTTGACACGGTGTTTATTAAGACTTTGGTTATTTAAAGTTTCCAGTAATTTTGAACTTCTTACCAACCTTTCTACATTAATTGTAGTTGTCTGGTTTCTGTATTTTCATTCGTAAACTTTTCTGATAGTTTTTGTTGAAAACTAGGTTGTTTTCCATCGAAAGCAGCAGAAGAAGAAAAGGAAGAAGAGTTGAATCAGATCATCCTGGTTAATGACTTTCTAATTATTCGTATTATTTATTTTTCTTCAATCAAAAAAACAAACAAAAAAAACAGCTATTGCTCTGAAGTGAAACTTACTAAAAAATAAGCCATATAGCTCTTTTAATAATGTATTTAGCTTTTTATTCTAAATGTATCACTATGGATAAGTGACTAATCCAGGACTGGCCTTGTCTTTCCACTAAGGCTAGAATCTGACGGATTTATTTTAGTATCACACAAATCAACAGGTTTTTTGAATATCAGCAAAAAAAATCAATTCAGCAAAAGAAAAGTAAACAAGTATTGAATCTTTCTCAGAGATTTTAAGCAGCAGCTACAAAGCCACACGTCTACAGATCAGAGTTCAAACGTGTCGATAGGTGTGTGAGCTCACCTCTCGGCTGAGCTGTCCGGCTCGATGAATCGAATGAGTGGAGGCGCAGAGAGAGTTTCAGTTGCAAATATTCCTCCCTGCAGCTGCACTCCAAAGCCGTTGAGAGGATCACCTGTCAGGACGACCTCACTGGTCTCTACATGGACCACCTGACCGCCAGGACCAACCGAACTCGATGCCAGGGACACTAATCAAACACATTCACATGTTTTAGATGGACTGTTTGTAAAATGTGATCATCTGTCCGACAGGTGGAACCCACAGGAACTTTTGTGCTCTTTCTTCCTCTGCCGTCGTTTGAGCAGCGAGTTGCGAGGACTCATGGGAACTGCAGGCCTGGGCAGCGTGTTTGAGCTCTGGCTGCTGGGGCCTGATGTGGTGGTAGAGCTGGTGGAGAAACTGGCACATACAAGAGCTGCAACAAATAAAAAGTATGCGTTTCATTTTTCGTTCAGCTGCTCATATAGAAAATCACATTATTGCAGGAAAAATAGGAAAAGCAAAACAGAGTGTTACTTTGAAAGCTTTTACCCAGCTGACATCCTTAGAGGATTCAGTTCTTACACTTGCAGTAGTCCAGGCTGTTGATTGTGTTGTTGTTGGATGCGGTCCAGGACTTGTTGAGGGTGGAACTTGTGTTGCAGAGGGTGGAGTTTTGAGGGTGGCAGTAGTTTATACACGGGTCCCAGGTGTGGGGATGATCTGATTTCTGGACCTTCACTGAAACAAACAAGTCAATTCGTTATTGAATGGGATAAAAGGCTAATCCAGCTAAATCAAAGACAGCAGGAGCCAAATTAGAGAAGATAAGTCATGGTCCAAAATAAAAATGACCAAAACCAGACGCTAAGCTAAACTTTTTAAACCAGAAAGAAGTTTAGGTTTTCTAACTGCTGCACTTAAAGTAAGATCACTTCAACGTCTGCTTCAGAACAAGTAGTGCTGTGTGACACCAGGGGGATCATAAGAAGATCCATGCAGACCCTCAGCAGGATGTATGCATATTTCTGATCATCTGAGATACAGAAAAACTCTAGGAAAACTTTAAACCACATTATACATTTTTTAAATCGCCAATATTGCATGTTACATTTTCAGTTCATGTTAAAGCAGAAAATGTTCAGGAGCTGGAAAAAAAAACGCGTTTCTACAGAGTCTCACTCTGAGGTCATCAGTGTACAATCAGAGCTGCAGTGTGGCAAAATACCCAACCTTCTGTGTAATATTTCACTACAAACTCCTCTAAAAACTTTGAAGTTGATCCAAACCTGCAGCATGCCTCTACAATCACAGAGTCGTGGGAGTCGTCTCATCCAAATGGCCGCGTCTTTGTGCAGATTTGATACTGAATATGTGTTTGGCAGCCCTGGGGGTAACACTCAGAGAAGTGTGGAAACACACTCACATCTAACCCTCCTTGAGCTAGTCATTAGGTCCAGTAAAACACACTGGAGAGACAGATGCACTGACAGGAAACGATAGTGGCACGGCACAGATCGTAGATCAGCGCAGACAGGACACGCAGAAAAAGTCACTTTGGATAAAATCGCTCACATGTGATTTACACTGAACAGATTCCCAAAAGGTGAAGAGAATTATGTGCACACAGATTCACTGAGGCTAATCTGTGCCGCAGTAAACAGTGAAGCCGAAGACAAACGCATACACATCTTCCATCTTTTAATCAGAGTGTCTATTAATAAAGCAGCGGCAGGCCGGCTGCTAGGTCTGCTGGAAGGCTATGAGTTTCCTAATGAGCTGTGTTCATTTCTCATGCACACACGGCAGTCACACAACGGTGATTACAAGAAAAAAATCAATGACTGCATTTTGCCTCTTAGGGGCAAATGAATAATATTTTTGGATGGAATGGATGGCAAGTTTTTGAAAGTATTAATTATTGACATCTTGATCCCAAAGCAGCTTTTTACCACTTCAAAATAAGCACAAAGGACAAAGAGCAGGAGAAGACAGAAAATGAGTCAAAGGAATGAAAGGAGTTTCTGTGAGCAAAACTAAAAAAGAAAAACAACCAAGAGAGGAAAGGAAACGACCATCCTGGTCCATCCTGGCTTCATGTTTTCAGTGGGTCACCATTTCACAAACACAGAACTCACACACAAAATAAATCAATGACAGTAGATCCAAGATGATGTTTGAGTCCAAGTTTAAAGCAAAATATGAGCATTTTCACCTTTTCTCAGACTTTTCTTGTCTTGTCTAATCATCACAACAGAAATAACAGAAAGTTCTTCAGTAAGTACAACAATAAACATTTCAATTAGTTCTGTAAGGTTTCATAAAAACTAGTGCTGAATATTGTGATAACTATGATGACACGATCAGCCTTTTCCTTTATCAAAACATCCTCATCATGACTTTCCATGAGTCTGTGAATCTTGGCCCCTAAAGTTACACATCAAGTGTGTAACTAATGACACACCAACGAACATCCAACAAGTCAAAAGTATTACTGTCCTGCTGTTTTGGCATGAAATATGAATTCCTTCAAATACTAAATCTAAATGAGCTTGTTTCAACTGTGGTGTTGCACACACTGACCTTCCAATGATGATTCAGATAGAGTGTTGTGCAGCTCTATTTAACCAACATTGGGATTTGTGTTAACCGCAGTTGTTACAGTAAACAATGCAGACCCAGTGCACATTCTGTAACTGGGTGTAAAGCAGCCATTTTGAATCATTTTTCATTCAGAAACCACAGAAACCACTGAGGACCAATAACTTTTCATTCAGTCCAACAGGAGAACAGCAGGTTGAAATACAAGTCTGATTTATTCTGACACTCCAATCTGTTACATTTGAATATAGATTTTATGCGTATTTTGTACTTAGAACCTGAAACCAAACAGTAACATTTTTGTGCTGTCTGTGCCCAGATGGACTTCTCTACAGAGATTTAATGCTGCACCACAAAATCAAAATCTGCCCAAACTCTGGAAGGAAGATTTCATGGTGAGATAAACAGGTAAGGAATAAGAGATTAAGAGGGAAACTAGTTCCTACTTCCTACTTTTCCAAACCGTCTAGTTATTATTTCATTCAGAGTTTGGTAAATTGTTAGATCAGAATGTGTCCAGTTAAACCCACCTGTGTCATGCTGCTTCCCTGCTAGCCTGGTCTGATGTGAAGGAAGGATTTCTAACTTGACCAGCTCCGTTGTGCTTGCTAACAACTGCGTTGCCTCCAACACTGTACAGTGTTCTGTTGACGTCCCGTCTATGGACAGCAGGTGATCCCCTGGATGCAGCGCTCCACATCTGCTTAGTCCATCACAGGGAACAGAGACACAGTAGCATCACAACTTTAGGAAATGAGAAAACAAAGATTATAAAGTGATGAATATCAGCATCCATAGCCAGCCTGTTCTGTTCACTGAGGAGATTTTACTGCTGGTTTCAAAACCGACTTCGAGCTCTTCATTTATATTTAAAGAGCAGATTGAGGCTCTTCTTGGGGCAGCATCCTGTCTTCTACAGTCTGTGTTAGTTTTAGGGCTACAGATACACACTGTATTGACTTTCTATATGCGTAAGGACTTCCTAGACATAAGAGAAAACACAATATAGCTGTAATCCTGCGGTGTAAGAATGGCTTCACAGGAGTGGGTGGGGTATTGATTTCTGTCTTTTTGCAAAGAGCTGGCTCTATCTGAAAGACATTCTCTGACATTTAAACTGTTTCAGAACATTTAGTGTAGCAATATACACAGAGTGCCTCTGAAAAGTATTTATTCTCATTTCAACATTTCACAAAGTTACACAAACCTAATTCCCTTGGATTTCATGTGATAAATTCAACACAAAATAGTCGAATGAGAATGAGACACGGTTTACAATGTTTTCCTAATGAAATTTTGAAAAGGATGGCAATTATTTGCATTCAAATGTTTAAAGAAAAGCCTTACCATTAAAGCTGCAGGTCTTCTGGCTTTTCATGCAATCTTGGCCAATAATGCTGACTTTAATTTATTTGCACATCTTGAGACATTTTGCTCATTCTTCTTTGTAAATTGCAAAATAAAAGTTTCGATAACTGGAAGGTGAATCTCCACTCAGGTCTGCTGATGCCTCAAGCAGGTTTTCTTTCAGGGTTACATTTAACTCAAACTATCATGCCAACATCTCTGACCAGCTTCCCTGTCCAGGCATGCATGATGCAGAATTAATAACTTCATAAAGTCAACCATGTAAAAATGGTCAGTTGCTTTAATTCTGCTTTAAATCCTCCACAACTTCATCGATGCTGTTTGTCTTCATGTTGCTTTTTCATTGATAATGATAAAAAAAAAATCCACTTTTTTGTTGCAGTGTGACAAAATGTGACAAAGTTTAATGAGCGAAAGGCGTCATGATGTCTGAATGTACTGAATATTTTTGTTTTAGCTGCATTTAGAAACAAACGTTTTGTGTGGTCATACCTGTCCACCACGCTGCCAGGTTTAACCCGGTCAATAACGATGACCTGCTTGTTCCGATGATTGGCCGACGTTAGTGTGATGCCCAGCGTTGCCCCTGGCGACTTTGCAATCTCCACCAATAACGGACCAGAAGCATTAGCCACTGTGTCTGAAAGAGAGAGAGAAAAACACATCTATCGTTGATATCAACATTATATTTCTATATGTTTTTTATTCCACTATCAAACTGTTTACCTAACAGTCTAATCTTACTTCATTCATACTCACAAAACTCTAACAGTATTTGAGAGGAAATTGGCTTCATCTTGTCCAACATGGCAACTTAAACACAGATGCATCTCATATTAAGTTCATGTCTGAAGATTTTTCTCTTTGGCTTTAATTCATAAAACACAACAAGGGGACTTCATCAACTACCAACACAAATTATTTTCACATTATCTGTGCACAAATGAAATTTGAATGCCATCAAATTTGCTTGTTGATTTAATTACTTGCATAAAGTCATACAGGTCAAGTATCAACCTACATACCTATAATTAAATTATAGCTGGAATGAGAAAGTGTCTGGTGATTAGATCATTAGTTGTTTTTTGCTTTGGTTGCCCTGGATGGATGTCTGGCCAGTTGAAAACTGAAATGTCTCTTCTTAGAACTAGACTCAAACGCAGCTACTATCATCACCAACATGGCACCAAAATAAAATTGTGAGAAGCTCATGAGAATAAAACCATTTTCTATGACATGTCAAGACGTGTCTGGAGTTGATCTGAGCTGAGAGAGAGAGCAAGATAACAGGAAGGCTAAACAGATAATCTGTTTTTTTTCCCCCTCTCTGCCTTGGAACTCATTATAAAAATAATATAAATCTCTATACAGTGAATAAATATTTGAAAGGCTCTACATCCGTGTAGAAAGCCCAGTTTGTGTTTGTTGTCTCACCCATTATTGTGACGTCGTACTCTATCTGGAACAGGGCTTCCTGGCCGCACTGAGCCAACACGCTGTGGGCGTCGTTGTGGCTGGCGTTGTGTAAAGGAACGCCGTCCACACTTAAGAGGCGGTCACCCGGACGCAGCGTTCCTTCTCTGAGCACAAAACCATCAAAACAAACTATTTAAACTGTTGAAATGCAGACTTACAGAATGTTACATGGTTGTCTAAAACCACCGCACTTCCATTCCACAAAAATAAAGTAGAACAGCTGCATGACATCCGTAAAAACTTTGAAAATAGATTATTTATTTTACTTGTTCTATTTGCCCCTTGAAGCATTTTAAATAAAAAATGCACTCTGCTTGAACTTTTTCAGGTTTTCTCTCATCAGAAACACAAGCATATTTTTTTCATGTAGTCTTTTGAATTCTCATTACAGTCTAGCAGCATCACAGGTATAATGGTGGGTTTTTATGAGTTGATTAGAGTTATACAGAATGTGAAGGTTTTGAAAATCACATGATGTAAGTTAAGGCCTTTAATTCAGAGGGAATTAGGCTGCAGAGTGGAGCAATGCTAAACTCTCTTTGGTTATTTTCTGTCTGCTGTGACGTCTCTCCACAGTCGTTTTCACTTTCATAAAGTTTAGCCAACAATATAACCGTTTTATGACACAACAGCAAAGAACAACATACTAAGTCATAGTCATGCATCATTTGGTTTCAAGCTGTGTCTAATTACGTATTTTTCTTTTGGAGGATCATTTTAATAAATGACTGGCTAAAGCCCACAGTTTAAGAACTGCTGTGACATTTAGCCTGCTTTCAGACCTTTAGGCTTCGTCTCTTTCTGATGATGCTGTGAAAATAGTATCTTTGTGACTCAGAATAAAAGCCCCGGCTCTTTTAGAGTTGGTGCTTTAATTCCCACTGGGTAATGCTAAATGTGTAGGTACTTCTGGGACTGTATGGTGCTGAGGATTAACTTTTCTCCGATTGGCATATAAATGGCATATAAAGCAGCATGAATATCTCATTTATTTCCCCTGGAGTGACCCACATTCTGTGGATGTTAGATGAGCTTCTGGGCAAAATAACTCAATAGAAAGAATTTAAATCTTTAATCTTTGTCCTGGTATCTCAATTCAGATCCTGTGGCTGGACTATCTAATTATAAAGCAGCTTTCTACAATAGAGTAAGACATTTTTATTTTGTAACAAGTCATGGAAAATTAAAAGTAATTTCTAAAAGATCTTCAATAAGATTATTTTTTTTAAATCCTTTCACCAGTTTCTAATGTTCTGAAATAACCATGAAATGATCTCAGCAGTTGGAAAACGATACAGTAATTACTTTCATGTGATTATTCTGCATCTGCCCTAATTTACTGCTGCATGCTTCCAGTACAAATAAGAGCCAGAGGAATAAAAATAGCATGTAGGATATTTAAATTCTAGCTTATGCTGCTGAGTGATCAGAAAAAAGTCACATTTCTCTTCTTCAGTCTTCTGCTTTGGTGGCTTGACTAAGAAAAGCTGAGTTACGAAAGTGAACACTGAGAGCATTTCATCACTGTGGGTAATGCTGCAATAGATGGAACTAATTAATGAAATTAAACTTTAAATGTGTTTCTTCACCAAAGGCCTCAAAAACAGCTTCAGTGTTCTGCAGTTGATGATCTTTAATTCTGAGGAACTGACTGAGAAGCGGATTCATGTTGCCAAAAGGAAGATTATGATGCTCAGCACACTCAGCTTTCTGCTCTTGTTTGCACTCATCTTGTAATATTCTCAAACTGTAAAGTTTTCCCTGCATGCGGTGAAACACTGAGGGAGCTTTCTTTTGCTTTTTGTGTCCTGCAGACCTGACTCCAAGAAAATCATCCCTGAGATTATCGAAACCATATTTACATACATTTGTATTCTACTAATGTACAACTCTGGAAAAATTTAGATACTACTTAAAATGATAACTTTCTTTGATTTAACTCTTTATAGGTATATGTTTGAGCAAAGTGAACATTGTGCTTTTATTCTATGAACTACTGACAACATGTCTCTGAAATTCAAAACAAACATTTTTTTTTATTTGCAGAAAATGAGAAATGGTCAAAATGACAAAAAAGATGCTGTGCTTTCAGATCTCAAATAATGCAAATATGTTTTAACTCAGGGGGAGTTCAGAAATCCATACTTGGTGGAATAACCAGGAGGCTTTCAACAGGGTGTGTGTATATATATATATATATATATATATATATATATATATATATGCATAATTTGGTTTCAGGACTTTATTGTTGCAAATTCTAACAAATTCATACACAGGATATGCACACGGTTGAATCATCTCTGTATTGCTGCTACAAATCGGACATTTATATGGAAATGTCATGGAGTATTACTTAAACATGAAGCCTGGGACAGATGCATGATGACAGCATTAAAGGAACAGAGATGAATCATGCTGCAACAGCTACGAGCAACACATAGCGGTCGACGTTCCGGTGATGGTCACAGGAGAGGACAATGTTATTTCTAGGCTGTTAACGGTCTGAGGGCACAAATAATTCTCTGTGACTCCAAATAACAACTCATTGACTTTTTACCTTTATATTTTAGGAGGACTCTGATTTATTAGACAGAACTTTCCCCCTTTTTTCTTCTAAACCCAAAAAGGACACATTATACTGAAGTATCTCTGGCTGCAGCTGTAAATGTTTCAGGTTTAAAGCTTCTTCATGTATCCATGCGCTTGTATTGAAATATGTTTGAATATCAGGAGGTTTATATGAAATGTTGAGCTGTACCTGTCTGCAGGACCTCCAGGTCTGACGTAGGTGACCACTAAGGGCCGTGACTTGTGCCAGTCTTCATGGGTTCCACCTGCAATCAGAAGGAGGAAAAAAATCAGACTCACATGAGTGGAAATTGTGCGTTTTTAGCAAACTGCAGCATATTCAGTCATTTGAAAAGTTGTGTCAAGTCCCTGTGAACTAAACATCTTTTTGCATCCATTGAAATGTGATCATTTAGGTAAAACCTGTTCATAATGATGTTATGTTGTTTATTGTTCTGCTGCTAGTTCTCCAGTATTCAGTCACTGTATTACCTGTACATGATTTTCATTATTTGTAGGCCATAATCAGCAAAATTAGTAGAATATTTTACTCTTTGAACTGTTTAAATACATCAGTTTTACTTTCTGAAATAAGTGACAAAACATCCTGAACCTGTTCAGGACATTGTAACTTTTTTGACATGTACCTTTATTAGATAATAAAACAGCTACATGGAGACATGGAGAGTCTGTCTCCCATGATTCCTTTAGTATTTCAATAACTAATTTCTCCTTCTGAATCCAAGGTTTGATAACTGGAACCTGGGATTAAAAATTAGGTTATTAATTTTGGTAAAGTTGCCATTTTTGGTGACATTTACCTCTCATGACAAAACCAAAGCTGCTTCCCTCTTTGTGCAAACAGATGTCGATTGTCTTCGATATTACTCCTGAGGTGCTGTCTGGTGCTTTCAGAGGGAGGAGAAAAACAAACTAATGATTCATTCAAGAAAAATAAACAGTTTAAACTGTTTTAAAAATGTACAAGTTCAAGATTAGTTCAGATATGCATAAATATTACAGTTACGGTCGTTTAGTTTTAAAAATGTCCAGAAAAATCAGGAAAATAAATGAACTTCCTATCATCTGTGAGTGTTGCTGCATCCCACAAATATGCATCAAGACCTGAGTTAAATGTCGTACAAGTTAAATATTAATGGGGTGGCATATTTTTATGGAAATGTATTCATATTGAATGATTCAGTATGTTATCATTTATATTCCAAAGCGAGTCACAGTCCTGCAGACGTAATGCATAACATACATGCAGACAGGCCCAAACTTATTAATACCTCTGGCATATTTAGATGTGGAATCATCTTTATTCAGCTCAATAGGCGTCTTCATGCAAATGAAAATATTTTCATTTTCAATGCACAGTGTTTATATTTTTGTTGGTTGACCATTCTCTCACCACAGAAACATCCAGAGTTTCCCAAAACCAAAAGCTCTGCCTGACGTGGTTTAAATTCTTGATGTGGATAAACAAACTGCCCAAACCATTTTTTCCCACCACTATGATTGAACCTATGGATGGATATTCAACAATTGTCCCTAGTGTTTATTAATGCTTTGTACTGTGGGCACTTTTTCTTTAAGACATTTAGATAAGACATTTGTCGCCACTTGAGAACTCCTGAGTTTGCTCTTTTGTTTTAGCCCTGACTTGCAACAAACCAACTGTGGAGAGCTGCAGTTTTTCACCTGTGGACTCGAAGGAAACAGCTGCTCCCAATTTATCAAGGTAATCAGGGAGTCTTAGAACAGCATGGTCCATTTAGGAAGGAGTAGAACCTCGAATGCTTCAACAGACTTTCACAGTTTGCAAATCTTATGAATAATTTATAGACCCTCTTTTACATCAAATGTAATATGAATATCTTATTTATTTTCCACAGAAATAAATCGACAATCTTCTCATAAAACATGAGAAGATTGCTTTTGTCCGTTTTTTTGATGAAATCTTGAACATTGTAGAATCATATTTGCCACACATCTCTGTTCTTTAAAGTCACAATGAAAACGTTGTTCAAGTTAAAAGAGTACTTTAAATTTAAATCTGCCAAACGGATTCATTATTTTGGGTTTAATTACAGCAGAAAGTATGGTGTGTGTTCAGGACCTTATGTAAGATATGAACACTTGACTGAATTTTTTTCTCTTAAGGATTTCAGAACTGAGCTGCTTCGTGTACATGGGCTTCAGAAAACATGTGGTTAAAATGCTAATTGAAATAAACAAATCAGTGAACAAAACTTACTATTATATTATTGCATATTGCCATGCTGATTCTCAAAGTGTCAGTGTGATTTGTACCTGTAGGGGGCAGCTCATACTCCACCTCTAACAGGACTCTCTCTCCAACGTTCTTTAACAAACTAATAATTTCTTCATGCCTCAGTTTGGTCAGATTGATGCCGTTCACAGATTTGATGTAATCCCCGACGTTAAGCTGATCACTCCTGTATGAAGAAAAGTATCAAACCACACAACATGTTACAGAGTTTATACACTCAACAGTCACACATGCATACGTCAGCTGTGCCTCTAACTGTTGTTTACAGTTTAATCATTCCACTTTGTGAAATGCCCAATTAAAATTAATCAGTAAAACTTAAAAATAGTATTGATCTCCAGGCCTTTGATGTGTATTTATAAGGTTTTCACTGAAGCTGTGTTGAAGCACCACTTTGCACTTTCAAACTGTGTTTTCTTCAGATTCCTCTGGTAGAAAATGCTTGATGAAAAGAGTGTTTAACTCAGTGGGTAGCTTGATGTAACTGTATGTTTGCTTAAGCTTTGAAATATTTTTCCAAAAATGATGCCGTTTCCCACCTGGCTGCCAGCCCACCTGGCCGTAGATTTGATACCCGTGGTTTCCCATCCTTGTCCGTTCCTCCTGAGATGGTTAGTCCAAGCGTGCTGCCTTCTTTTTTCACCAGTTCCACCATGGTCACCCCCCGTAGAGCTTCTAACCAAAAACATAAAGGCATGCACCCACACGGACACGTATCAGGACAATCCGGCCAAGAGAAAGACAAAGACAGAGTGTACACAGAACAACCAAAGACACAGCAGAAAAAAATTATTGGATATTGGATGCTGCCTTCATTTTCCTCTCAGATTAAACAAAAGCTGAAAAACGGGAAAGATAAAACATTTTCTTTACTGTTGTTGCCTTTGGTTTATTCAACAAATGATTTTAGTCCTTTACATTTATATAAACTTGCTTTGCAATTACAGGAAGCTTAAACTATGGATTAAATTTTTGTTTTACATCCATCCCAAGTGAGGAATATTTATTGAGATATTTCAGTTGCATATCTAACAGCTGCATTACAATTTAGACTGCAGAGTATGCAGACATTCATTAATAATGTATTTAATGTATCTCGCTCAATAAACATCTAAAAATTAAGAAAGTAAGACAGTACATTTCTATGAGAAACTTTTAATTACCTTTATGGGACGATGAATGCATACTAACTACCATGTTGACACACACTAGCAGGATGTTTGAGATTAAGATTTTATGGAAAACTTTTCACTGAACCTCTCTGATCATTCATCTGTGGAAACAAGGCTCAAGGAATGGTGCAGCGTCCCACTCTTCCAACAGAGAACGAGCCAACTATTGTTCAATGCAAAATTCCCTGCACACTTAATTAGACTGCTGTGCAAACAGGGACACTACAATATTCAGAGGAACTACACATAACCTGTTCTACAACGACTGTTATCTCCAACGGGACAGCTATTCCTGGGTTCAGTCAAGATTTCCTCAGGTTAAAAGTTTGATTAATCATGCTGGCAGAGGACAAAGTGGTTCTCAAGAGAGGTCAAGAAAATTACATTTCCAAGACTTTAAAGATAGGATTATGAACAAATATTTCTTTTTATAAGTTAGGACAGATATGTAATTACTACACAGCTGCATTGCTCTCTGTTGTAACTATAATTATTTTATCATTTGGAAACTCAGCTCACAATTTGTTGGAACAAATTATCCAAGTTACTCCATAAATGCTGAATTTCAGTGTTGATGTATGAAATCAAAATTTCACAGTAAAGGTCACAAGAGTGATGGGAAAGTCATGATGGTGTTTTTATGTTTGTTTTAATCACAAATGTTTATTGATGGTTATGGAATGTAATATAATGGTAACTCTTAGGTTAACCTTTCTAGATGATGAACAAATGGTTAATTAATGGTCACCTGCTCATGGCATGGCTGTGGAGCTATAGCTACATGGAGTTAGCCTTAATTAATCTTTACTTGATGATTAGAAATGTGCTAGAAAACACTTGAGCTGGCCAGCACTCGTCCCTTCAGCACCCTAACCTGAAGTCATTCAGTTTCTGATATATTTTTGTAAATTCAACAGCCATTATTTGTGTTCCTGGAGAGCTGTTACAGTCACAGATTATGCTGGAGAGGTTTTAAGTGACAAAGGTGTCATGTACCTGGTATACTGTGCCTTCTCAAAGTCATGGTGTGTTCTGGTCCAGAGATGTCCTTTGTTTTTCCATATGGCCCCTCATCTAGAAGGAACAGACACAGCAGTGTGTTGAGTTTCATAGCAATACTTTGCATTATTTTTTTGGTTTTCATGTCTTAAACTTGATTTTTCAGTTGTTGTCATAATAAAAAGTTACTTTCAGACACATAACGCTAAAATGCAGAGGCTGAAGGGTGGAACAGAAATTAAATCTACCAACTTTCACATATAAAACTAGTATAAAACAAAGATATTACACTTTGAAAAATGCTCAAAGATGAAGAAAATGAAGCAAACGAAGAACCATTCACAATGAACACATACAAACTTAGCCTGGTTAATGTTTTACACTCACATATTGGAGGCTTTACACACTGTAAAAGTCCTAAACATTAAAATATACACAAGTATTTTCTGTTGGGTTAAAACACGCAGTAAATGTAGCGTTTTTGCTAATAACTGTTATTTACCACCGCCAGTCGTTTCTACCGTACTGGTCAGTCAAGGGCGAAATCAAGTTTAAGCTATCTGATTGGCTGTGATGGACTGGGCCGACGTGTACGTGTCGGCTGGCGGCCCTTCACGGTCGAGGTTGGCTCTGGATTGTTATTCCTTGCTAACCAGCTGGAGATACGAACTTTTCTGGACGTTTTGCTTGGTTTTTGGAGCTGCAGACCCGAACCACACTCGTGACCCGGGACGGACTGTTGGACCGGAGTCAGAGCAGTTTATTGCCTTCAAACACTGGTAGCCCATGGTGGGGTGAGTAACCCATTCCTCATGGTTGTTCTGGGAGCCGCCATCTTTGGGCCTGTTATTCCGTGGATAACTGAGTCTCTTCAGGCCTGCTACGTTTATTAAGCTAACGGTCTGCTTTACACCTTTAAGAGACTGAAAAGTGTGGTTGATATCTTCAGTTTGCCAGTCCTCTTTGCTCATTTTTTATGTATATATTATCCTGTTTAAAAGTTTTTTGTGCAGTTGTAGCACTTGCTGTGGTTAATATATTATTAACGGGTGGGATACATGCTGTGCTATGGTTCTACTTGGCTCAGTGTCGAGCTCTGTTGATGTGCATTGGCCTTGGTTTATTACTGACCAATACTGTTTATTAAACTGGTACATTTTTTCAACCTTACCATTTTTCCTTTCTTATTTTAGTATAAGGTTAAAGCTGCACTGCACTTAAATCTCAGTTGTAGTTATCTCAGTCTTGTGCTCAGTTATGCACTCTATTCACAACATACACTGTTGCCAATTAAAACAATTGACAGCATGTAGGTCAGAGAAACTGGACGCTGTTTATAGGGGAAACGTGAACAGTGGTTACTTATGTTTCTCAGTTAAATCACTTAAATATATTTTATGCAGAGATTTCTGCCTTAATGGGGCAAAAAAACAAACTGCCTTTGATGAGCTGCAAAATGTTTGGGAGCTTTTATGATATGAAATACTCACAATTGCTGTTATCTTGAAACTAAGTTAAACCAAAGTATATATAACATCTTTCAAGCACGTTAAAAACAACAAGTCACACAGAAATATACAACTGTTGAAATGTTAGCTTACAATGGGCCACTCCGTTAATAATTGTGTTTATTAAACATTTGCTAGAACACAGATGAGAGGAGAGAAGGACAAAACTTTATAGTTACAATGATTTGTTAATAAAGATTTAGATATAAACCTGCAATCAAGTGGTGGTAAGGTCTGTTTCAGTCAGACCTTACCCCCCACCAGTGTGAAAATATATCAGTGTATTTATCAGTTCATCTCTATCTAACGCTGCTCACCCAACAGCACCGCCAAAAACACAATAACTCATCCAGAAGTCATGCTCACAGCAGGCAGGGACTAAACCTGCATTTAGTAAGCTTTCTTAACACTTGTGTGTGCGAGGACTGTGGCAAATGATACAAGTTTTACGGGTGTGGGATCGGTTGGACCCCATTAGGGTTAAGCTTTTCCTAAAGGCAAGTCCAGGAACTCTGCACAGGATGCTTACACGTTTCACATATATGATTTATGATCTTTCTTTCATTCACTCATTATGCATACCTAAGGGCTCAAATATAGAAGAGTTGTAAAAGTCTTTTTAAATCAGTACAGAACACTTTGGTGTTGTGTTTCTCTGCAGATTCCACCCAAATCTACCCACAACCATCCTTTGCTCAGACGCTTGAGCTTCTTGATTTGATTTAGCTAAAATGTTTTCTCAGTCAGTGGGAAACGCTGCGCATGGCATCAGACTTCATCTTAACAGCTTTATTACAGGTACATGCTGTTCCAGGATGTACCTGGAACAGCAATGACTCCAACAGGAGGACATTACTTATGAAGAACATTGATGAAATATGAAGCCAACTGTGGAATGGCCCACCTGCTGGAGGCTCTGCAAAGTCCTGATGTTTTTTCACTGGTTCTTAGGAAGATAACTTTCATTTATGTGGAAATAAATTACTTCCATACTTTACAAATCAAATCCGATTATACTATTTTCAACGTTTGTTTTGCAGTTTTTCTGATTAGTGTAATTAAGGCCGAACTATGATTTATTGTCAAGCATGTTTTAGGTCAAAGTTTTTGTGTTTAATATTTCATATACGAAGGATTGCTAAGTGTTTGCCATCCCACACTCTGCAGTTCAGTTTGAGAGCTGAGGCTGGAACGAAGGCGGCAGCTGCTGCAGCAACTACTGCTGCAGCAACTGCTGCACCTACTGCTGCAGCAACTACTGCTGCTGCTTCAGCTGCAACTCTGAAGGCAGAGGATTTGTCCTGCTTCTTAACCTCAGCTTCATCAGAAGCTTTCAGTGAGTTTTAAAATTCATAAGCTATTTCTCATCTATTAAACTTTAAGCTGCATGATCATCAGGGACACTCACAGCACAGCTCACACATAAACATATTTTATAAACCTGCAGAAATACGTATGCATTTTTGATACTATTTAGCATATAAAATTGCATTTTAATCTGGCTATGGCACTGAGACACTAATGGACTCTGACAGAGTTTGGAAGAAATCTGCAACATATTTTGAAGTGTTTGTTGGCTGAGAAAGGCTGTTTGTCCTGAAGCTGCCACTAAGCAACACGCATGAGAGAAACGTTTGTTAAATCTCTTTAGTTTTCTAAGTTAGACATGAATGTTTGGCTGAATAAAAATATGATGAGATTAAATTTATGTTTTTGTAAAGCCACTTGATGTGAGTTCTGTTGTGAATTAGCACTACACAGATAAACTGAATTAAACCAAATGTTTGACGAGTTTTAACACGCATGAAGAAAATTAAATGTTAAAGAGATTGTGAAGTTGGTGTCCAACAGCTTCAGTTCACAAATTGGTTGTGATCTCAGATAGATCAGGTTTGACGCTGCTTGTTCTAAGGAGAAAAACATTCTGTAGCATTGGTTAATGAAACTTAAAGCTTAAATTTACTCAGCGACTCTAAAATGATAATTATCTGACTTTTAAACCACATATAAGATGTTTAAGGTTTTCAATCATCGTGATGAATGTAATTCGATGTACTACATTCCTTTTGCCAACATGCGTAGCTCAGTTTAGAACATCTTTTCATCAGCAGGAGCAGAGAAAAGGATCATACTGTTGTCTCAGAGATGAACATTCTCCTCAAAGGCACAATAAATAAAATAAATTGAAATTGCTTTTTTTTCTTTTTTGTTTGGAACCACATTATAAGTTATCTGGCTGGCTAGTATTTGGCTGTGGGACCGTCATGTGTATGAAAACAGGATTTCCAAAGGCACATATTTTACCTTTAAACAGGCGTCAGGGATAATCTATGCCTTGCTGACTTCCTGTGTTTTAGTCAGATCTTACCCCCACCAACTCTCAGCTCTCATTCTTTGGGAACATGTCCTGTCTGTTTCTACCACTGAGGTATTATTCATCAGTGTAAGGTTTTTCATTGGACATGGTCTTTCAACACCGCTTATCTTTTATCTTTCTCAAAATATTGCTGAGACTCGTTTGGTCTGCCTCTCCCCTCGTTCCCCCCAACCCAGCCTGATAAATTAACGTCTCACAATGAATAATTTGAATGTGATTAGACTAATGACTGCTGGCACTGTCAGGTAGCTGAACAGGTTGCAGATGAAGCGTCAGGCCAGATTTACCTCCTCCAGCAGGCACAGTGCTTGTAGCTCCAGTTTCTTTTCAAGCAGAGACAGTAATGACTTTCGCCTGTGCAACGGAACAAATTACACTTTCTAAAACAAAATTAAACAATGTTATGCTTAATTTTTCGCAATGTTGGGGTCATTTCTCTGTGCTCTTTCTAAGTGACCCTAAAATATATATATTGGGTTATATAATTATGCTTAACAGCAAAAATAATATTTAATACAGTTTTTCTCTTGGTGTGAATGTACTAGGATCACACTAAGTTTCTGCTAGATGTTGAATATTTTTTTATTTCACAAATCAAAGGAAATGCTGGAACAGTGAGACAACATAAGGCTAACCAGTAAAAAACACAGCCAAGTTTGTTTTAAATGATACAATGACTCATCATTCAGAAATGTGTGAAACATATTTCACCATTTTTTTAAAATCTACAGTTCCAGGAAACTTTTGTTTTTTTCTTTGTGAACCTGCCACTGAGACAAAACCCAATTTATTCTGAAAACTACGGCTTTGGAACTGAAACCAATTGAGTCCCGAGTCCAGAGAGAGTCCAGACTGTGAGCCAGAACCAAACGGCTGCCAGCTCAGCACTGAGAGGACAGAGAAAAGCTGTCAGAGCCGAGTCCAGAGAGGAACGGCTGGAGTCGATGGTTCAGAAACCCAAACTGGTTCCCAGGAAACAGAGAGGCGCCTGAATCAGACCCTGATCCTGATCCATCAGGGTTCTGACTTTATTTCACTTCTCCAGACCTTTCCTTAAACTGAAACGAGGATCTGGAAATATAAATTATGCACAGATGTTTGAATTTTTATTAGGAGAAACAATTTGCTATTGATAGTGAGACATATAAGAAGCTAATTACACCCTAAATGTTAATTATTGGTTCCCATCA